GTAGTGTTGTATAGTCTTATACAATGTCATATAGTCTTGTATAATTAACATTGTATAGTATCGTATCATATAGCCTTATATAGTATCGTATAGCCTTATATAGTGTCATATAGTGTTGTATAGTGTGTCATGTACACTGTGGTATAGTGTCGTAATTTTGATAGTCTTATATAACGTTGTATAGTGTTATATATAGTGTCGTATAACCTTATATATTGTTGTATAGTTTTGTATAACGTTGTATAGTGTCATATAGTGTCGTATAGCCTTTATATGTTGTTATATAGTATTGTATAACGTTATGTTGTATAGTGTCGTATAGCCTTGTATATTATTGTGTAGTGTCGTAATTGTGGTATACTCTTGTAGTGTTGTATGGTCTCAGGGTGTCCCAAAAACCCCGAAAACTATTGAAATAAATGTATTGTTAGAATTTGAATGCCTCAGCACTCTGCTGAACCCACACGTGCATCAAAGCTTGACGTAAGTAAATTTTATGCATAAAAAAAAAGTTTTAAACTGTTTTAAATTCCCAAGAGCAGAAAATCGTGTGCTTTACAAAGATATTTTAAATTCTTAATAAGTCAATGTTTAATATATGCACCCTTGTTAATACTTTACGCATCTTTGGCACTTTGCATTCGGCTTAGTGCTCAAATTTTAACAATATGTTATTTCAATGGTTTTTCGGGTTTTTGGGACACCCTGTATAATAGTGTTGTTATGGTATACATAATAATCCATTGTTAATAGTATTAACAGTCCTTGGCTCTTGTGCATTATATTTATCCATTATTAATAGTGTTATTAACTGTGAGTCATTCCAGGTTATTACTCTAGAAGTGACCACACTTGACTTTGTGTCTAAGAATATTAGTGACATTAACCTTAGTGACAATCACATAATAAATAGCTAAATGTGTGGAGGTAGCCCTGCGGGTCACATTATACATATATTGTTGGAGAAATAAGCCGTGGAATGACCCATAATTTCTTAATTTTTATTAGCTACTATTGTTTAGAGTGCTCAGAAAATGACCTGTTTCATTACAGAGAACTGTTTTCTTAATTTTAGATAATTACAATATTGTTGTAACATATATGCGCGCGATTCTTACAATAAAATACGATTTTCATTGTTTAAAAATTATAATAGTGTTGTGTTTCCATTATACAGGGTGTATAAAAGAAAACGCAACCTCGGAATTTCCCGATTAATCAACTTTGTTTTAAAGACAAAAGATTTTAGGCGCCTTGGGATTGAAAATAGCACAACTGTCAAAATTACTGCACACGCGAGTTGCATAAATAAAAATTTATGCATTTATTTAATGCAAAACAACAGTAATATGATCTATTACCAATTTGATTTCAATTCCCAGGGGCCTAAAATCTTTTATGCTTAAGAATTGCAAAGTGATTTCTTAGGAAATTCCGAGGTTGCGTTTTTTTTTATACACTCTGTAGTGTTTTTAGTTTTGAATTATCCACGGATTATAAACAGATTTTTAACAACCTAACCAAAAGTTTTGGCTGTGAGGCAGCAATTCCTTGCGTTAGTAACTTCTAGTTTATATGTGCCCACGAAGCAAAAAATCATGCAGCTTAAATGTTATCGGGCTCAATGAAAATCTACCCGCCCCACCCACCAAGAATCAAATGGTCCGCCCTGTAACCAGGCTACACTTTTGGTCATGAGGTGCTTCCTCTGCTTCCCCCTCCCTTGAAACTTTCAGCTAAGTGTCTGTACTACACACACACTCTCAGCATTGTTTTACAGGGCTGCGAACAATCAAGTACGAACGACCAAGTCACAGGACAGGCTACACAGAAGCCCGATTTGGTTTTTCCTATGATTTTCCAAAGATTTTGCCATCAAAATGCTGATGCCATGGTTCCTTCATGATTCCAGGCTACCATGGTCCTAGCCTAGCAAGTGCACTTTTGAAAGGCATTCACCCCCCTGATAATATTCAAAACAGCAGACGTCCAGGGGGGGCATACCTCTCATTTTCATGACGAATCATGGCACGCCATTTTTGCAAAGGCCAAAATTTCCTTTTGCAAGGAAATTTCCTTGCATTGCAAATGGAAGCACTGTTTGGCAAGATACTGATCTATCAGTGATCTATCCTCTGTGCAGACTGTGCTCATCTGTGCTCATACTCATAGCGACATATAGTTTGCCTGCGCTGCCCTAATATATTTTGGAATGCGAGGAATTTTTTCGTTTTTTTTTTTGTTGTCGCAAGTGTGACTTTCCATTGCGGCATCGTGGGCTCAGGATTGCGCAATTCAGCCCCTGAGCTATAATAATATTACTGTAATATTATAGCTCAGTGAATTTAGCTATCACATTACACATGCTCACTATAATTTATAAACCAATTCCTATATTTTGAGAAGAAAGCGACACCATACGATTCAGCGTATAAAGAAATTGTACTTACGGATGTCACTTGACATCCTGAATTACTGAACGCCAGTATTCTAGTGATTTATGGCCTTTGAAAATCAAGCGAAATTGTATTGACAAATCGCTCGCAGTATGTATTGTTATTTATAACAAATCACTCGCACTACGTTTGTCTTTGTATTTGTAATGTCTAATGGCGCAATAAGGATAAAAATACCACCATTCGATTCAGCATAAGAAATTGTACTTACGGATGTCAAATGTATTACTATTTATATACTATTGAAATTTAATACAACGAAATATAGCATTCTACGTCGATAATTTCAATCATAGTTTAATAATTATTTTCAATCTATAGTAATTCACCGTTTCCAGGTTTTTTTATACCTTTAATAAAGCTACAATAAAGCTAAATTTGTAGGAAATAACATTTTTTAGTTATAAAATAGTATAAAAGAAAATCTAACAGTCAATCGCTTTCGATACAAACTTGACCTGCCTTGACCTTGTTTATATTACCGTTGTTGGCAACTAACGATGAACAGTCGCTCATAAAAACATTGCTTATTCGCATGAGAATCTTAAGTTTTCTTATTTTGACATAATAGTTATTTTTCAAACAATATATTGATCTTAAACTTATTGAATCAATATTTTAAGTTTCAGATCAGATGTACCAAAAGTTATAAGCGGTCGCGCATCATTACCAGGGCACAGGGTCGGTCATACAGAAGCCCAATTTATTGGTTTTTCTTATGGTTTTCCAATGATTTTGGCGTGACCGTAATTCATCATCAAAATGCTGATGTCACGGTCCTGGCTGGTGCGCTTTTGGGAGGCATTTAACCCCCCGATAATATTCAAAATGATAGACGTCCGGGGGGGGGGGTTGCCTCTTTGGTGTGCACTGGTTGGGACGTGGCAGCGTTTACTCTAATTACAGTCTTTCAAAACATGGTTTGGAAACACCGCTAAAGTCTTTGTTCTATCTTTTTGTTTTGCGTTTATGCAGTTTTGTGCACGGTGTACAGTCAATTGTGAACACATTGTATTTCAGTATAATGAACGAATCATCCAACAGCGACGTTTCAGTTCAGTCATTCAACCATGTTAGTTAAATATTAATAAACCTAAAACAAAGGATGTGCATGGTGTAAGGTACGGCTCAACGTAAAATCCCAGCTCATTATAACCGCTTTGAAGTTTACTGAGTTTCCAGACCATGTTTTGAAAGACTATGCTCTAATCAACCTTCTGTGTATCTTTGTTCAGTGCCAGGGGATAACTGCTTCTGTTTACTGTACTTGCCGACTGAAAAATCATGACAAATAACACGTACAAAGAAAACAATGGAGATGGCCATGATTTCTGTATAGTATTCTGAGTCGTGAGGTTTCATGGTTTTGATGGCATGCAACATGTACGCACTACGTACCTATTTTTTAGAATATTGCGATGGTATTTTACTGTTTTACCAACCGCGAAGGCCAGTGTGAATGCCTGAGCAGGCGTCTTGTTTCAAATACGCTCACCTCGCATGACTCTGCACCTATTCATGGTAGACCTACACTAAAAGATGCTGAGCGATTTCGAACCTGGTCGATTATCCACGAATCCACAAATATCAATACCAGAGATTGCCAAAAATGTTATACAAAAAGTTGCCAAAAATGTGACAAAAGTATTACTGAAATCAAAAGTACCACTGAAATCAAAAGTACCACTGAAATCAAAAGTACTACTGAAATGACGAATAATACAGAGACAAATATACAAAAAACAAACGTAAACTCACAATCAAGTTGCTGCAACTGTATTTCTAAATTGAATAACCCAAATATTGAAATAACAGGTCCTTCAAAACACTACCTAAAAAAACTTCCAGTGCGATCACGGCAAGCATTATATTTTTGGGTATAATCTTTGTAACTTTTAGGAAACATGCATATGGTATTAAGAAACAGTAAACAACTTAATACCAATTTTTCCCATTAGGATTATGCCCATCAGGGCTATTTTTAGATTTGCCGACGTTTGTCAATTTAAGTCAAGTAAGCAATAGAAAATGCCCAAATTCCTCTTGTAAAGAGTATATTGATATTACACAATGCATGCGAAGACAAACCCACTCAAAATATTTTTCTCCCTTCAAAATGGTCTTAATAGACTCAATAAATGGGGAAAATATATGTATAGCAATTGTTTTAATATTGTGCTGTGTGGTATCTTATATGTAATGCTGGTTATTCTCACATATTTTATGTTTAACTACATATTTCAGTTCAGTTTATTTCAAAAAATATAACCAGTGTGGTAGTAATAAAGTGTGGGTTAAACAATGCTTTTTGGAGGCCATCTTGCAATTCAAGATGGCCGCTATATATTTGCATGTTTTCTGAAACAAGTGAGTAAACAAGTTGAACAATCATTGATGTTAACAGAGTACGTAAAATTCCCATGAATCTTGTTGTTTATGATGTTAATTTTCTGTCATCTGCTACTATCGATGACAAAACAAAGAAAGAAAATAATCCATTAAGTGATCAAACTGGTCAGTGGTTAATCAAGTCAAAGTACACAGATGTCAGCAGCAGAACCACCTGCTAAAAGTAAGCCAACCGATTATAATTTATGCATAAAATGTCAAGAACATATAAAAAAGGAAAAACTGACGAAACCAATGGTTGTGTCTACATATGAAACATTTCTACAATATGTTAATGAGAGATTTGAAACTGGAAATCCTGATTATATTGGAGTGTCACAAAGATTGAAGGGACTGTCACCAAATGAGCTTCTAGAATTAGGAGCCCAATGGCGTCGCAATTGCGAAACAACTGATAAAAACAAGCTTGAAAGAGATAAGAAGAGGTACCAAATGAATAGCGAAAATAACCTCAAGGGAAAAAGGGCGCCCTTCTTCAGGTTCTGTTTCTAGTAGATTGACCAGATCAGGTAAAGAGAGTTTTAATCGTGATGCCTGCTTTTTTGTCAAGGAAGTGATCCAGAGACAGCTAGAGATGCAATCCATTCTTGCCAAAGTAAAAACAGTGCAAATTCGATCAAAGATATTGTAGATAGAAGTGACAATGCTAAATGAATGGAAGGTCCAGTTAGCGGATATATTAGCCGAGGATGATTTCCTTGCCAGAGACATAGTACACCACAAAAGCTGCAAAACTAAATATTGGCGAAAACATGTCCAAGCTTCCGATAGACAAAGTTCATGCATGGACGCAAATGAATCAACACTCTTTATAGCTGCAGAAATAGAGTTTTTTTATCACTTAAATGAGATTGTAGAGTCTGGGGAATACATCACCACAGTTGAAGTTGAAACATTATACAAAAACATGATGCATGATCATGGTATAGACAAGCCAATAACACATAGATCCTTGATTTCCAATATCTCAGAACATGCCACACATTGTAATATCCCAACATAGATGGAGTTTACCAGGTGTCCTGCATTCTAAGAAAGCAGGTCATGAGGCAATAGATATAGCTCGGACGGAGAAGGACATCAAAGGCGATCTTGATCAAATATTCAAATCAGCCAAAGTAATCAGACAGCTGGTTATTAACGCAAGGAAAGAATGCCCATGGGCTTTTACGGGACACCTTGATGGTTCTAGTGAGAGTGGTGTACCCGTGGAACTGATGATGATGACCAGGTGGATCTTGCAAGGATCTCAAGTGGCTACAACCAATTCTAGAAATCTAGTTTTACGTAAATCATGTGCTAATCTCACAAATTATTATGCAAGAATTAAAGACCAAACGACAAGTTACGCATGAAGCAAAGTCAGAATCCGAATTATCGATGTTTCGTCGACAATACGAAAGCCCGTTTGCAATTGGCCTATCACTCTGGATGTACCACAACCTTCGGAGCCAAAAAGCAATAAATTTATTAAGTAAATGTGGTGTGGGCATATCATACAGCAGAGTTACTCATGTCTGCAGTCAGATAGCTAATGCGGTGCAGGATAACATCAAAATAAATGGTGTTTTCTTGCCGCCGGGTATCGTAACAGGTTGAGCAATACGGGCTGCTGCATATAATGTTGACAAGCAAGTAGACACTCATGATGGAAAGAATAGCTTCCATGCAATGACATCTAGTGTTTTCCAGCCAAATTGTAATGGTAAGAGTGCAGTGGAACAACTTGACCTTTGGAAGGTTTCTGCTGGCACATTTAGTGGTATTCCCAGCACCTGCATCAAGATCAATGAATGCCATATAGTAGGCAGTCCTAAACCATGCACTAGCCCTTGTTACAGTTCTTACAAAGTGGGATTTCATGCTGACCACTTCGACAACACTCTGGTCAATGACATTGCATGGATAATATCAAGATATTTTAATCGATCATCCCAATCCATTGACACCCAAGTTGTTAATCAACGAGTTCCAGGGTGGTCAGCATACACCTCTCTTGTAAATACACCAGAATCTGGAGAGGAATCACCTATCATCATTGACAAAGCATCTGCTTTGCCTATCCATTAATGCCCCAGCTCATGAATGGTCCACCTTAGTCACCACGCTAAATCAATTGTGTATGATCAACCGATTAGTATCAAAGAATGATGGAAAGCTGATAGTCACATTTGACATGGATCTCTACAAGCGGGTGTTGAAGTTGGAGTATCTTGATTTCCAATACAAAGATAAGTGGGTAGTGTGTCCAGGAGCTTTCCATATGGCAGTTTGCGCTCTAAGGTGCCTTGGAAAAACAATCGAAGGCAGCGGTATCGACGAAGCATGGGTAGAAGCAGAAGTGTACAGTTCTGTCACCATGGACCAGATTATCAATGGGAATCACTACAGAAGGGCATTGGAGGCTCAAGAAGTCACACTTCAAGTGCTGTTCGACCTTTGGATTGAAGCATTCTTTTCAGAGCGACCTGCTGTACAAACAAGCCTAGAAGCCTGTATTAAGCAAGTTTCCAAAGCATGTGTGTTGAAGCAGGGTGTTCATGAAGCTCACTTTTCACTGATTGCCACACTCGAATCTATCAACATCGACAAACAGCTGAATTTGACGCCAGACATGAGGCACATCCCATGTTTCAATGGGCGCGGATGTACATGCACCAAGTCATTGTTTTGCTTCAATTCCAACACGCTACACACCAAGGAGATTGGTTTCTGCATCTGTCTTTTCTTGAAAAACTCTGTGTGTATTTCTTTGCATATAACAGGCTTGATTATACACAAAATATACCAGAGTATGTGGCCCACATGTACCAGATGGAGAGAGCAGATCCCAAAGTCTGGCTTCAGTTCCTATCGAACAAATTCACGGTTAATACTTCAAATAGAATTCCGTTCACCCGCCTTGGGCTAGATCATGCACAGGAGCATGTCAACAAAAATCTGAAAGGCCAGGGCGCTATAAGTGGCATTATGCAGAATCCGGCCACACTCCTGAAGTTCTGTATGTGCGCTCCTGAACTTTCGCGCATTGTTGAAGAGACTGAGACAATGGTTGGGATGCCAAAGCAAAATGACACTGAACATCACCGCCTGAATTAGACTACAGTGGTACACCAAGAACAGGATATCGCAAATCTGTCTTGTGTGCTTTCACCGTGTAACATTTTCACATCAGAAGAAACAAACTTGTTCAAACTCATGACAAAGGAGATTATCCCGAAACCTATTGAGGAAAGCATTTTAAGCATGGAAGCTTGTGGGTCATCTGTGATGAAGAAATTTTTTGAAGAAAGAATAAGCGGAGAAACCAATCTATGGGAAAAAATGACAAAGTCCAAGTTTCTATCGTGGAATTCCTCAGGCAAAGAGATTAAACTCCAAGCCAAATCAGAAGTCATCACTCTTCGCACAACCACGGGTCTTATGTCCAGACCTTATGTCTTATGCTCATGATTGCACGATCATCCCGCGAGGTTGACATGGAAGAAGTCATTGGAAACTACGAGTTTGCGACTACAAACCGCACGTTGATGAAGCTTGATGGATCTGTTCACCCAACCTTAAATAAGAGTAGCATTATTGCAGTTCTGGAGGATCTCCCAGCACAAGCTTCAACGAACAGCCAAACGTTAACTGAATCTCCTTCACGAGAGAGCAACCAGAACACAACCAGTACATGTCTCGTTGTCGACGGTATGGCAGTTGTTCAGGAGATAATGGCAGTAAAGCCTTTAAAGAATTGCAAGGAATTAGCAGATGCATATGTAACACACATAGATGCCAAAGGTCACAACTACGATATTACTCGGGTTATATTTGACAACTACGTCGTCGAGGTTTCACTTAAAGAAGCGACACAAGATCGATGCAGGGGAAGTAAGGCACCTGTAAAAGGATATGTTGTGGAAGATGCTACTAAAATAAAAAATGTTAAATCATTTCTTGGAAGCACTACTACGAAAGCAAATCTTACACTCTTTTTAGCGAGGAAGTTAATAGATCACGCCAAAGTACACGTCATTACAGCAACACATCAGGGGGTTATGTCAAACAGAGCTGGCAATATCACTCCTGGTGTTAGCACTCAAGAAGCAGATATGTTGATGATCTTACATGCAGTCGAAGCAGCAAAAGCGGGGTCCATTGTTCATATATACAGTCAAGAAACAGATGTATTGCTTCTTGCTTTTAGACATGTTCCTCTTCTTGGTGAACAAGCAGCACTGTAGATGGGCACAGGTGATCGATGCCATCTAGTGTTATTGAAGCCAATTTATGATTCACTTGGAGAACAGAAAGCGAAGGCGCTATGCAAATGGAATGCCTTAACTGGCTGTGATACGACAGGCTACATTTGGGGAAAATCAAAGAAAGCATGTTTAGAAGCATTTTTGAACGAAAAATCCAGCATTGTTTTGGCCATTTCCTCTCTTGGAATTGAAAGTGGAGTTAGTGGGCCATCTGAAGACATAATCGAAGGCTGCATATCATTTCTATGTGGTCTTTTTCGTAAAAAAGGTATTGAAGCCACAAACCCACACAGTCTTCGATGGACCTTGTTCAAACAACAGAGAATTGACAAAGGTATTGAGCTACTACCACCAACCAATGGATCGTGGAAAAAGCACATTTTGAGAGCTCATTGTCAGTGTGTGGTATGGGAACAAGATCTTATTGTCTGTCCAATGACAACAGACCCACTTATGTTCGGCTGGATAAAAGAAGTTGACCATCTTGTTCCCCAGTTATCCAAGATTCCTCCAGCCCCAACAGCAGTTGTCGAATTGGTGAGATGTACCTGTGGTGCCAGTAATCCGATTGCAGTAAATAAGTGCACTTCCGGGAGATGTTCGTGCAAATTAAACAGTCTTGTTTGCACAGAGCTGTGCAGATGTGAAGCAGCCATAGATATTTGCCAAAACATAAACAGCGATATCTTAAATCCAACAGATGATTAATGTAGTAAATTTATTTCATTGCCTTTTTAAATTTTCATTGTGGTGGCCGGGGAATACAATTCTTGAAATTTAAACATTTGCAAACAAAGATTAAAACCACATAGCAAGGTCACAAACACAGAGAGATTGAAGAGGTGAGACCGTATTCTCAGCTATGCTGAAGTTTTGATATATTATTCTCTACGATGAACCCCGTCACCATTTAATTAAAAGTTAAAAAGGCCCTGATTAAATAATGTTGAGTTGAAATAATTAATAAGACATGTGAATAACTGCACTTATAATACAGTGTGGTACCACTATTTCCAATAACAATTATGGCTACTTTAGTGAACTGTAGTTACTATCAAGCTTCATTCTCTTGTTAAATAGGCAAACAACGACAGTTGAAACAAAGAGAGAACAATTATTTTGAGTGGTTTGCCTTTGTATGAATTATGTAATACAAATAAACTTTTTATATGTGTGAAATCTGTCCATTTTGTATTGCTTTCTTGACTACATTTGAGGAATGGCGGCCATCTTGAAATCCAAGATGGCCGCCAAATAAGAGAAAATCTAAAAATAGCTCTGATGGGCGTGATCCTAAAAGGAACAAGACGCTCTGTGGAGCGTTAACTCGCTGGGGCTACACAACTGACGCACATTACTGTTAAGATCTAAAGACTGATTTCCACTGGCACTGTTGCGTTTTTCGTACGCACGTATACACGCACGTAAAACTTTGAATCCTTCTATTTTTAAATATTTTACAAATAAGTTAACAAATTCATACTAAAACTTGCGGAGCAGTAAATTCTGTTGCTTTATTTATTTGGTTATTTTACAAATTTAAAGTTTTACGTGCGTATATTAAGCCTGGTGTGGAAATTAAGCCTGGCCCTGAGCTAAGGGGAAACTTCCGGCGTTTATGCCCACAAGTAAAGTTATATTTTATAGTACGCTACATTCTTCTGTCGGCCGCCAGTTTAAAACGTTCAAAATAAAATATTTTTGGGCTTTTGGGCTCAAAACATTATCAAAATGAAGAGAGAAGTGAGACGAATCCACTGGTGGGCGGCTGAAAAAGAGAAAACCAATGATACCAAAGGTATCAAGTCGAATCAAGGATCAAACGTACTGCATCTTTTATAATTTGAGCATTTGTCAACAAATAATACAATTTCGCTTGGCTTTCAAAGACAAAGTCAGAGGCCATAAATCGCTAGAATACTGTTGTCAGTTGTTTAGTAATACATTTGACATCCGTAGGTACAATTTCTCATCCGTAAGTACAATTTCTTATGCTGAATAGAACGGTGGTATTTTTATTCTTATTGCGCCATTAATTAGGCAATACAAATACAAGGTCAAGGACAAACGTACTGCGAGTGATTTGATGTCAACAAGACAATTTCGCTTGATTTTCAGAGGCCATAAATCGCTAGAATACTGCTGTTTAGTAATACATTTGACATCCGTAAGTACAATTTCTTACGCTGAATCGAACGGTGGTATTTTTATCCTTATTGCGCCATTTATAAGAGGCATTACAAATACAATATCATGTTTCGCACTGAGTACACTACAGACAGTTTTCGATAAATTTTATATTGATATGACACCAATATGCTTCTCATAAAGTAGTTATAATTTAAACTGCACAACGTAGTTTTAATAAATAACCTTTTACCTTGAAATTGTCTTTGGCTCCTTTATATTCAGATTCAGTATATTATGATCGTGCACGGGAATTCAACGATCCAAATTTCGGATTTTCAGAGTCGTGCACCAAGAAAAACGCATTAAATAAACTAGCATGAATGTCCAGAGTTAGACACAAAGCAAAATCCATAGCAAACAGGTACAATTTGGCCAAAATGGGGCCTGGAATTGTTTGAAACATTTTGCCCACTCCACGAAAGGCTCCGCCATTTTGAAAAGGTCAAGCAGCTCATTAGTATTCTATTTTGTGGCTATCAACGACGATCGGAAATCTGACATCCACCATGCGAGCCGAAACCAATACTCGTCTGGGGCACAGTGCCCCAGCGAGTAAAAATTGGTATCAAGTTGTTTAGTGTTTCTTAATACCAAATGCATGTTTCCTGAAAGTTACAAAGATTATACCCAAAAATGCATATGGTTTTCAGAGGTATTCAGTACAATACTTATTTATTTATTTATTTATTTACTTTGCCATCATACTTATACATTCATTGGCTGGGAAACCACAACAGCTATTGCCAATTACAGCGGCCCCAATAGTTATACAGAAACAATTTACAAGGTATACTAAACACACACAACAGACAATACTTGAACAACAGTCATTACATTTGTCTAAAAGCAGCATGTCAATGGAGAGTTCATTAAACTTCGAGCGGAATTACATACACACACTTTTCCATGTCCGGGGATCCTCAACATCGTATGTATTTTCTAATGCTAAAATATAGTACTTAAAAAGAAGATTCTTGAATTCTGAAAATGTTAGGTCTTTGGATGTAATATAATTGGGTAGTGTGTTCCATATTCTTGATGTTCGGATTTTGTAAGATTTTTCATAGGTGGACGTCTTGTATGTCGGAATTTTATATTTGTGCGAGTTGGGATTAAATGATCTTGTTTGTCTTTGACCCTGAGGTTGAGGAAATGGAAGAATTTTTTTATCAATATTAAAAATGTTGTGATTTGCCTTATAGAAGAATACTACATCCAGGTATTCATGCCAGTAGCTGAGAGGGAGCAAACTGGTTGCAAGGAGTCGGTCTCTATATTCTGTATCACAAATAAAGGGAACATTTAAAATATATTTAGTTGCACGCCTCTGAACTCGTTCTACTCTTTTCACCAACTCAACTGTTTGGGGCGCCCATACTTGGGTGGCATATCCTAAGTGTGAGCGAACCAGAGAAAGGTACAGTGTTCATCGAATTGCAAACTCGCGAATATTGAAAGTTGATCTTCGAATATAACCCAACATTTTATTAGCTTTGTTACTTTGTTGTGTAACTTGCTTTGACCAAGTGAGATCATAATTCGTCCATACACCTAAATCGAGTTCGCAATCAGTCTTTTCTAGTATGGTATCTTGTAGTTGATAAGGGAAATCTATTTTGTTGTGTTTCCTGGTGACCTGGAGGGTTTTACATTTTGATGTGTTAAAATGCAGACCAGCATTGGATGAGGAGGAATTAAAGTTGAGAAGATCATTTTGTAATAACATTGCATCGGTCCTGGAATTAATCACTTTAAAAATCTTAGTGTCATCAGCGAAAGCTGCTACGTTCGAATTCACGATGGAAGAGGATAGATCATTGGTATATAAGAGGAAAAGTAGCGGGCCAAGAATGGAACTTTGTGGTACTCCGGATGTCACTGGTAGTGCTGTCGATGTTGCACCGAGAACAGTAGTTTGTTGTTGGCGATTTTTCAAGTAAGAATTAAACCACATTAAGAGATTTCCTCCGAATCCAAATTCTCTGAGACGATGTAGAAGACGTACGTGACTAACCTTATCAAATGCTTTTGACATATCCAGGTAGATCACATCAATCTGCTTTCCGAGATCTTATTGGCTGCCGATGGTATCTAAAACTTCAATTAGTTGTGTCACGCATGATTTTCCTGAAATGAAGCCGTGTTGGCAAGAATTTATTTGACTGAAAGCATGTTCTTTGATACTAATGAACACGCAACGCTCTAAGACTTTGGAGACAAGTGAGAGAAGAGAAATTGGCCGATAGTTTTCTGCATGATCTTTATCCCCCTTTTTGTGGATGGGTACAACATTGGCAAGTTTCCATTCTCGAGGTACTATTCCACTTTTTAAGGACTTGTTAAACAGAAGGCATAGAGATGGAGCGATTTGGTATGCAGTTTCGGTAAGTAATCTTGCTGGGATTTCATCCGGGCCATGCGCTTTGTTGTTATCAAGATTTCTTAAAACTGATCGCACTGTTCCTTGCGACAAAACAATGTCATTAAAAAGAGTGTCAGTGGTTTCGGATATAGATTGTTGATTAACAATATTGATAGGATCACTCGAGAAGATTGATACAAAGTAGCAGTTGAAAAGTGTTGCGATGTCCCTAGGATTCTCGGCATATTCACGAACATTGTTGACACTTGTTTTTATTGAAATTTTTTCTGGGACAGAACGTGTTGCGCCTTTTAGTTTAAATAGTGACCAGAAACGTTTGGAATTGGTTTGGATGTTTGTGCAGAGAGAGGAAATGTAGTTAGATCGGCTGATTTTTATCATAAGCTTGATTGTGGCTCTGAAAGTTTTAAACTTGTGGCGGAGATAGTCACTGGGATTTTTTCAATCTTTGTCTTAAGGAATTTTTCTTTTTGATGTTGTGCAAAATTTCACCAGTAAGCCAAGGCACATATTTTCGACTTCGAAGTCTTTTAGTTGGGATATGATCAGCAACTATTGTAAGGAAAGTACTTTTCCAGATCAGCCAGTCGTGGTCAATATCGCCTTCCGCTGATATTAGGTTGGACAGATTCTCAGATTCGAGTGATGATCTTAAAGCATCGAAATTGCCACGTTGGTAGTCGTATACTGTTCTATTCATATTTACTGGAGATTTTGGAGATATAAGGACATCAAAGAGAATTATATTGTGATCAGTGAAAACTTCATGTATATAAGGTATACAGTATATAAGTATATACTGTATATACTGTATATACAAGTATATACAAGTATATATAAGTATATACAGTATATACAAGTATATATAAGTATATACAGTATATACAAGTATATACAAGTATATACAAGTGTATATATAAGTATATACAGTATATACTGTATATAAGGTATTCAGGTAAGGTAAGGTATTCTATAATATAAGGTATTCAGTACAATACCGGTATAGTTATGCCTTATTGGTTTGTAATGTTGTTGCTTAATTTGTATAGCCTATAGGTATTAATGATTTGTAATAACATAACTGAATGGAAACCACTACAATAACAAGGCCTAAAAAATACTTGTGGCTCTTGTTTCCTGGTTTCATAACGTGAAAAATTAGGGTTGCTAGGTCGGAAATAACCTTTTTTAAATATATTTTTTCATGGTTTTGGCGTTTTTTTTGCTGGGCAATTTGCAGTGGATTCCCGACATCAATATTAACTACAGATGCATATTTCCTATGGAAAAATTTAGGCTATTTCAGCCTTACCGGTACATGAGTTGATAAAGCCCATTGTGATCAAAGCATCCAGAGGTAGCCACATTTCCATGCTCACTTGTTCCTGAAGACTGACTTACAGTAACTTAGTGGTAAGAGACACTACTGTACCTTAGCATGCTCAGCCACCTGTGCTTCCCCATAGGACCTAAAAAAATACCTGTGGTTCCAGACTTTTTTTCTGTCGACCCCAATATTTTTTCAACGCAATTGACCGTGTGACCCAATTTTCTCTGGGTGGTAGAAGGCTGCTCATACAGCGTGCCAAAATGGCGTCTGTTGTCACACTAATTATTGACCAAATAGTAGAGTTTGGCTGGTTCTCTCCTGTGTTTTGAGGGTTTTCTCAAGGTACTCTGGGTTTCCTCCCTCACTAAGAGCAAACTTACTGTACATGCATTTCGAACTAAGCCTCGGGAACCTTTGTAATTGGGTTGTAAGTAAAACATGCATGCACTGTAAAAGCCTTCCATCCACCATAGATGTCAGTTAGAGAACATACAAATACCTTTTAAATTCCAGGCCTTAAAATATTGGTCGGTCACTGACATTGTCTGACCCATTCGTGAAATTGTCCGACGTAGAGAGGAAACCACCGGACATTCTGTCCGACCAAAGTGAACCTGAGGTTTTATTTTTTGTCCGACCCGAATGTATTGGTGTTCGAGCGAACTGTAGCTTTGTCTGACGTAAATCAAAATGTACCCTAGCCCAGGACTAGAGGCTTGTATGTTAAATGGAAAATCAGAGTACTTTTGTATAAACGGTGAACTGGAAATGTTGTTTTAACATGGTCAAGCGCGGGGCGGCGAGCGAAATGGGGAAGTTGAAAACGGGCTTAAGTTGTCGAAGTCTTTTAATACTGCTGTTCTGGCAAGCAAGTTAATTTTGGCTTGGAAATAGGTATGAAAGTATTAATATCTTTACAACATTTACCGTTTATTCATTTGTGTCATTCTGTCTTATTTCCGAGTCAAAACTGAAGTGAACGTCACCGGACATTTTGTCAGATGGCCCTGTAAAGATATTTTAAGGCCTGAAATTCAATAGAGTCATGGACATTTATCATCACCCCCATATTCATGCCTGAGTTCATTTGAGACTTCATGAAACGCCTTTAAATTGTGCTCTAATTCAAGGCTGTAGATAAAATTATGGCAAATAGTATTAATGAAAAGAGTTCATTTAGAATTCTCACAGGACTCAAAGGCTCCAACAAAAGTGGGCTATGGCTAGGTTAGATCCCTATTCTGTACTGAAAACATAATAGATATGTATATGTGCTGTACACATGCATAGAGTTTAGTTGCCACACATATTGCAGCTCTCCTACACATTCTACCACTTTAAACTTTAGCTACAATTTTGTCTATTTTTGACAATACATGCCCTACTTGTTATCTAATAGATGCCCTGCTTGTTGGCCACTATGTCCTCAAAATATACTGAAATCCATGGCCAGTAGTGGCCTGCCCTCAACCTGAGTGCAGCACTGTACTTATGCTTTAGAATACCAAGTGTATGATTTGTAAAATTGGCAATAATCAACTTATGTACTGTACAATCTTATTAGTTATAGTTTAATAGGTAGTTACGATACATGTAAATATGATATGAATAGTTTCATTTCGATTTTTTAAATGATTTATTTTTAATTAATCTGTATATTTCTCCTGTTTCATGGAAACTCAACGTTATTTGAAACTTCAAAATGGCAACTGAATAGAATTTTCAAACTGACTTGAAAAACTTAGTAACATTTAAGGCCAAACTGGCCTTCCCTTTATTTTTCCCAAATTCGAGGCCTGTACCTGTACTATACGATATATGTTTCCCGTCCCCCTGCCACGAACTTCATGACAAATATGGGCCTAATCGCTCAAAGTTGTTGAAGAAAGTATTTTTTTATTTTTCAGGTACTTGGATAATTAACCTGCTATTATCTCGCAACCACTGGTATTTCCTTTTTGGACAGTAACAATTGGTTAAACACTGTACAGTAATTTATTACCTTTCATTAAGGTTAAGAAACCCATTTCTCCCAGCTTTCTCAAGCAACTTAAGTTTTCTTCGAACATCATTCTGGAAAATGCAAGAGTACAATAATTATACACTAAATAATTATAAAAAAAAATCATATTGTTATATAGTTGGTGTCAAATTTAAATTTTTCTGTTTGCTGATTGGTCAAAACTGTTGATGTGCAGGTCATGTCCACATTGAAGCATTTATTGACCGGTCAATAATAAAATGGGTGCAATACATATGTGTGTCAACGATGAAGTTCCAAAGTTCATGTTTAAAACTTTTTATCAGAGACCTTTAGATTGACGTTTACGGCAAACGTCAAACCGCTAGCGAGGTTTTTGATTTTACCACTCTATTATAATATAGCTTTTACACCAGTTTTGAAATATGTTAAACTTATTAAACTTGTGCTCTTTAGCAATGATTTAAGAAGCAAATTAACCACTAGTCATGCTATGCACCAAAGCAGTAAATTAAGATTTGGCATTTGAAGTTGACGTTTGGTGTATAAATTTCATGCTTGAACTGCTACAAGGGCTTGTAGTCGTTATTGAAATCTCCCAACAAGATGGTACCACTGTTTGGAAATTGAGACTCGGTACTTGTTAGGCTTTCATACAGGTAATGTATCATTGATAGGTCATCTGCATTGGTGCATGGTACACAATACCCACTATGACATTCGTTATACCTCTGGGAAGCCGCGAAGGTCTGAGTGTTAGCCAGAGTACCTCAAAACTGGCATCAAACAGATTTTCCAAAACTTGGTACTTTATTGTTTTCTGCACATAGGCACAAACTCCGCCATGCTGCCCAATGCATCTCTCTCTTCTAATTAAATTGTAGCCAGCAGTGGCAACTATTTGATCGGGAATATGTTCTTGAAGCCACGTTTCGACAAAGCAACCAAGATCAACATTTAAATTGCCTAATACTTCTCGGATTTTGTCTATATTTGGAGCCATAGACATAACATTCGACAGTAACACTGAGGGCACGAACACGGTTGGCGAGCCCTGGACTTCAACTGAAGATGAAATAGGAATTTTAACTAAATTGGACAAATTTCTAGTTCTAATTGATGCACTTGGTTTATAGGAGAGGTATATGCTCCGGTCAGTTAAAGAGTACAGGGATTTTCTCCTCTGCTGCGTTAGATCTACTTTTGGACGGCCCAGTATTCTTTGGCACATTGTTTGGCGCACAAGATCGAGGTGATTGATCCATTCTGACGTCTTGGATTGCACTGGATAGCAAAACCAGGGAAGGTGGGTAATGTGGATATCATTGGTGTTGTTGTAGGAATGTGTTGTTGTAGGAATGTATTGTTCAAGCTGTCCGGTATTTGGGGATAGGCCAAGATTGGAGGCGGGTTGGGAAAACGTCCCGAAAATGGCTTTGGTCATAGATTACAGATTTGGTACGTGTGTAGCTTTCTTTAGGAAGATTATATGTATGCCTTGGGGCACTTTGCCTGCGACGGAATTTCTTTCTTTTATACTGCGTTTTATTTGGTACGATTTTGACGCTTTTATGAAGTCCTTCAGAGAAAGAAATTTGTTGTTTCTCTCATATTGGTTTAACTGTTTCTGAAAAGTTGGGGTTGAGGAATTATCTATAACATTAACACTAACATCTGTAAAATCAACACTAGCCTTGTCAATTGTAATGTATTCATGAATACTTGAGTGCTCACTAATTGTGCTAACTTCGTCATTTGAGACATAATGATGAATGCATGAACAGTCAATTGTGCATTCTTCGTCACTTGAGGGGTAATCATTATTGCATGAATGGTTGCTAAACATGCTTGCCTTATCAGATTCTATTGTTGCCAACGTGGTATCCAAAATTATATTATTACCGCTACAGTGCTCCGGTTCATCAATACAACCAGGCAAAGCTGTTGACGACACGTTTCATTGGATTTGACAGTTATTTTGATATTCCTTACTCGTTTTAGACAAGTCAATTTTGCATTGTTTCAACTCACTCTGTCTGTAAGGTCTGCCGGTAAATCCCAACCGGAAATACGACGAAAACTCGTCAAAACAATGCTACGCTTGTATCGCGTGACTCTGGAAATGCCAGAAATTGATTCCACAGGTCAAAGTGCACCCATACACGTGAGTTTGACGTCATCCCGGCTAAAGGGAGCTCCTTATTGGCCAAGTATTACGTAATACAAGCACGTGCAAGTAAAACCCGATACTTTAAAAATTAAAAATAAATATTTCTACTTGTCGTATTCATACGAAACTTTCTACACTAAAGCGCTTGAATACAAAGAGTATTTTACACATATAGCCTTTCAGAAAATGACAAAAGTTTAGAAGATATTCAACTTTTCTCTTTTTATCGTTTGAATGTTTGGCGAAGCGGTGAGTATAAATATATGATTGTTTCGGTTTGTATAATGTTCGACAGCACTTGACCCCCCGTTTGAAAGGTTATTTTGTGAGGATTACAATGGTGGGTTTTGTTTTAAAGGGGGCTAAATACTCGCCGCGATATTTACATTTGAAAAATTGAATCATAATGTAATGCGAAACCACTTGTCGACAAAGAGTTGACATACCCGTTTGATCGTCCAATTGTGCGGGATTTACAGTTTGTATTGGGCTTGAAACTGCCCTATTTATATTGGAGTCTTATTGACTTTTATTCAACTGTGGGCCAAATTTGACAATATTGTCGAGGATAACAGAAATCAAGCCTCGATCGGTCACAATAGCTTGAATGAATTGACCAGGATTAGGATGCATACCTTCAACTTGACTTTCATGGTTGGATGCTTCAGGATGTGAAGGATTCTCTTCAATTTCAGACACTACAACAATTTCTGGCTCCCCGCCATCATCGAGAAGTGAACAAAAAAGATGCCAAGAAGCTCCTGAGCCACTGGTTTGAGAAGACATGGTGAGGGATACATTATGTTGTTTTGTTAAGTTAGACTTTAAAGATTCACTGTTACAGACAGACAATGCATTGTTAAATTGAGACGAGTATCTTGAAATTTCTTATAGGAATTCCTATAGGGATTGGAAATTCCTATAAGAATTCCTATAGGAATTGAAATATCCTATAGGAATTGAAAAATGGTGAAAAAAATTTCTATAGGAAAAAATATTCCTGTAGGATTAGAAAATGGCTATGTTGGGGTTTTTATAATGTTAAAATTTGTTGGAAGCGAATCGGACAGGACTCGGAATATACCGGTGGATAAAAACAACCACGAGGGAACGATAAAACAAATATAGATGAGACTTAATACGTGAGAGTTTATGCATGTTTTATAGTATCAAACTTTAAATAAACGCCAAAAAACATTCACGACACAGTGGCGACCCCGCCAGGACGGCGTTGGTGGGAGAAACAGTGAATTGTGAGTCAAATTAAGTGATAATTTTAACATTTTGGCAGTCAAAACAAGCGAGCAAAATGGCCGACGTTGTAGAGAAGCCGTCGAAGGTAAGCTTCGTTTGTTGAGGTTTAACAATGAACAAACAACAAAAATTGTGGAATCAGCTGATCTAAAAGCTATTGAGAGACACGTGAGCATTTTAGAATCGATTATTGAGAAAGTACATGAGCTAAAACTGGATCAAATTTGAGAGTGGTGAGGAAATTGGCAAAAATAGGCTTTGGGCAGAGAAAATAGAAACTGAACTGGGTAAATTTTAAAACATTACTAAGGACAGCTGTTGTTTTCCCGCAATTGTTGTCGTGTTGTTAAGTGAGACAGGATGTGAAGGAATAACTCTTGTTGGTCCTTGGCGTCACCATACCAACCTATGTCACACATGTTGTCTGAAAAACGACCCAACGATTGTGTTCGCGTACGTGGGTTGAGAAATTCCCTGTTAAATTTAAAAAACAAAAAAGACTGGTTTTAATAACCCTGTAGAAAATCCACAAGGATATAAAAGCCAGTTTTCCTGTTTTTCAAAAATGATTTTCTTTTTCTTCTTTTTTTCTCTAATAATTTAGTATTTTTTTTTTAGCCCAACGTAAAACCACCGTATCCCGTAAATGAAGTGTGTGTACGGATTTCGCATGATGACTTTCTGAAAAGAATGCGGGAGAAACGAGAGGGTGAAGAGTTCCATAATTTAGCTGATGAAGAACAAATAAAACTGCTGTAGACTCGTAGTATAAATCAAATATTTGTAAACGAATTGAATTCATTTTACTCTTACTACCGCTTGTGCGTGTTTCGTTTTAAAAATGTGTAACCCCTGGGAAATGTATACTAAACAGTGGTTAGAAGAACAATTTGTACAGCATGGTACCCGGTGTATAAAAATTGCGGACCTTCGTGAGCGTGTTGTAATTTTGTTGCACGTTTTTGTTGCACGTTTTCTTGTGAGAGATGATAAATCCCCATACGGCAATAATCACAAAATTGACCAAGATCTGGCTCGTCGGGCACATCATCAGCGTCAAAACACACCTCGTGTTTGCAATGTCCCCCCTTACAACATTTACTTTGAAAAACTTTAATGTATTCGGTAAGATCCATACCTTTTTACACTTGTTTTGTCTTTCTTTCTTACGTTTCTAGATCCCGCACGTAACTCTAGCGTATATATATATATGTCCAAATATGGTCAAAATGGTTGAAATAAGTTTTTATGTTGATGTTGAAGAAATTGTTCAGTTATATACGAAACAATTAACAATCGAGGAATTTACACAAGCTTTGGGGTGTGTCATTGGTGCAAATTGTTTGACGACAAGATATTGTGATAAACACGCACCGATATTTTCAGCAACAGGATATTGCCGAAAAAGGGAATATGTGCAGAAATTTTGGGACTATTTTAATATACAGGAAAAGTATCATGTGATAAAACACGTGGGGTTATTTGTAGCCTGTTTTAGGGTTAGTGGTTGTGACCCACAGGCTATATTACGTTTGTGGTATTTCAATACTAGTCCATGTCCCCCACAAAGCACGTTGATCTTCATCATGCATGCAATCGTCACAACGTAATGTCACGCATGTTCGACACAAGGGAAAAGTTAATTTACCCCCGGCACGGCAGGGTAATACGGGAAATAACAAACGTTGCAGGGGGGGGCAATACGGCATTTGATCAACCCGAATACTGTACTGACGGGTATTTTTGCACATTCCTCTTCACCGCGTATTATTGTCGGATGACGGGTCGAAAAAACATTTTTTTTCTGAACATACGGGTATAGGGATGTGAAATCTCCGTAAAATGCTTTTTCCGCCCCATTTTTCGATTCAAAGTACAAACGTGCAGGCGATGTACGACCCCCGAAAAGGGCGTCCCGCGGGTTCAAATGAATATTAATAAAAAAATCACGATGACGTAAAAGATCTAACATCTTCTTGTTTAATTTATTCGTCTGCATGTAAACACATTCCCACATGGTGATAACTTGATAACCCGCATTTTCAAACATTTTATCAGTACGACGCGTACGTTCGCGCAACGTGTAGTAGGTTTCATTTAACACGGTATTATATTCGTCACCGTCGTAACATTGCGTACACCCATGAAAAAAACACCCGTGAAATTGATAAATCGTGCGTGTCGCCTTGCAATAGCCGTCAACATACCGACCCAGTACACGTGTTTCACCTTCAACGGACAAATTACTTTGTAAAAAAAGGTCGCTTTCATGCAGTTCGGTCTCGATCTCTCGTAACCAATAAAGAGCGATGACGCTCTGCTTAACCTGCGTTCCGTATCCCTTTGCGGGAATTTGTCCGATTGTATCTTTTACAAGAAAATTACTGCGGTATATTTTGAGTGCCAAACCGGCGATAGTATGACATGTTTTGTCATAAAAAGGAAAAACACCTGTTATGTTTTTTATCAAACGCGCAAAAATTACACACCCCTGCCGTAAAATATCTACGTCTAATCGACAATAGTAATAGATGGCTTTTTTGAAATTATAGGGTTTCAAACACTGTGCCACATACCATGCATCAAATTTAGAACGCTGCGGAGTACCCTCAGCGGGTGGTTCAAAATATTCTAGCCCCACCATAGGACCCACGTATGTCAAATCGGTAAAATGATAAGGATGAAAACCCTTGGCGATATTCTCAATACCCAGGGCTTCGGGAAATTTACTGAGTGCCATACTTAAAAATAAAAAACTATCGAGTACTTTTAGATTACGATCCTCTAATTCCATACACATGATTTTATTACCGTTCATAATTGTTTGCGGTACGATATTTCTTTGGATAAGCAGCTCACGCAATAAAAAAACGTTATCAAACCGACCACCGTTGTGTCCGACCCACACACTATTACGCTCTTGTGCGTACATAAAATCGACAAGATCTTTAGTAATACATGCATTGTCATTTTCAAATATATATTGTCTGTAACCGCAACAAATAACCGGTTGTACTGACCCGTCAGCATATTGAATATCTAAAACCGGTTCAAAGTTCTCATTTGTTTTCACGAACGGTTTTTCATCACATTCAACGCATACTTTCTGCACAACACAATAAAAGGGGATCATGTAACCCTCGTCATCTTTGCGTGTTTCGAAGTCGAAAAAAAACAAAGTTGGGCGATCTTCATCCGCATGTATCCGACACACTTTCATATAGCATTCGTGTGTTTTTTTTTTATACTTCTACAATGAGTACAATATATTTCGTCACATTTATGCTTTGCCCGTTTTTTGGCGTTAATGTTTACCATTCGCGGCACACGCTTATAACATGTCGAACAAAAAAACATATGTTGACAGGGTGTTTCGTGCCGCTGACCAACTGGAAATACACGCTTTTGCAGGTGCCGTGTATAGCATGCAGCATTTCGAAAAATCACACCGCACAAAGGGCACTCTTGTTGTAACCCCTCGTCGGGACAACACGCATCCGGCGAATAACAATTGGGGCATGTGTACACACTACGACAAACATGATTAGTTGCTGATTCGGCACGGTGAAAATGATGCATACATTTGAAACAAAATTTACCCGCATGCCGTGTGAAAATATGCGGCGAAAGAATTACGTCGTAGTGTTCGTCGTTTAACCATAGGTAAATAATATTTTCATTAACACGTAAAACATGACCCTCTGCATTTACACGCGAATCATAAACGATCGTGTCACCACCAAAACGATCGTGTCACTACCAATTCCGTATCTTCCACCGATAAAAAATGTTCGTAAAATGAATGCAATTCGCCAACACATACTTTCCCGGGTGTCATACTACATCGTCTATATACGTTAGCTATTTGTTCGTCGGTGTATAAGGTCGTTAATGTTGTGTTGGGCTTCGTTTTTAGTTTTTTACTAATTTCGTCATTGTGTAAAAACGATCGTGCAACCAGCAAGGTGTAAGCAAAGCAACGATTTGTTGTCGCGACGATTTGAAATACCCCGTGTCTAACATCGCGACCATGCTTGGTTGCTGTTCTTTTACGCCCCTTGCCAAATTCGTCTGGATTTTTCATCGAATACGCGGGGGGTTTTTTGTACGCGGAACATAATTGTTGGGGAAAATGAAAATACTTACGGTCGTTTGCCAACCCTCATTAATAACCTCCTCTGCATTACTTTGCATGTGATGTTCGAACACGTCAAAAAATAATTCCGCATTGAAATCACATACATTGAGTATGGCTGTTGAAAGAGCATGCCTCAGTGCTTTAGATATATAGAAACGTGCCTTATCCGTCGGCGAACTAGCTATATACTTCATTATATTAATTAAATAATTAAAAACCTCACACAAGCTATTTAGAAAATCCGGTAACGTGCTTGTGTTATTAGCCCCAATTGCCACTTCGTATACATATTCGTTGTAACCCAAACGTCTATGTCCCGCAATCTGCTTAACACTGAATAATTTTTTACTAATTTTTCTACGATTTTTCTTTACCAATTCTACTATTTCAGCAATATCGCGTGACTCAATACGGTAGTGAGGGCGTTTTCCTTTTTTGCTCAGCCGTAATTGTTTTGCGTTGATTTTAGCCATTCGCACAATATCCACTATTGTCTCGGGGTTAGCGGTATTCTACGTTTACGTATATTACTACGCACCATTTGTACAATATCCCGCAACATGTTCTCGTCTACCCTTATTCGTTTTCTATCCTCGTTTTCTATCCAACTTGTTACGTCGCAGAGTGACGGAATGGACCGGCACATGTGCAGTACCAAGTGTGCCGTTATCTAAAATAAATGCAATCATAAAATTTATTGAAAAGCACAACGATACGTACGTGGGTATAGACACCGTGTACGCTTCACCATGAGTAATTTATGGGAGCGTCTAGAGCGTATGCATAATTTTGGTGAACGATTTGTTAACAGACGTGTATATCAACAAATGTATGGTCGACGACCTGTACAAAGTAAACGTAAATCTCAACGTTGCGTATCCGATACAGTTCGCCATGTTCGATGTCGTAAACGTACTGCGCACACAAAAAAATGTTGGGATCATTTGGCAAAACAAGACAAAAATAAAGCAAAAACAACAATAACCATCCTCGGCAATTTCTTTCTGCAATTCATGATGCCGCCTCATTGCCCAAATATGCATATGTTCAATCATAGGGTTGCGCCCAATCACGGTTAAGTTTACGGCTATTGCAAAATCTCCAAACTCTCGTTTCAATCGCGCCATTGTAACATGTCTGGTAAACTGTATAATACCCATCACTTTTGTCGACAACTGTAAGTGGTAGTCGATGTATTTATAATAATGCATTGTCAGCTAGACTATCCAATACACAATGTATTCTATAATTTACATCGCCCACAAACAAAGGAAACGATGCTTCGAAGTAATATGTTCTAAAAGACATTTTGTTTTTTCTCCCTTGTAAAATAAGCCAACCGAAACTCTTTACACTTTATTGAGCACAATTGTTTACCGCCCAATGAAGCAACTATCTTACGCCGTCTATGTATGTTAAACACTTGTAATATATACCCTCGTTCATAAAACATCGCATAAACATGCTTGAATACGCTCCTTATTAGGACAAAACCACCCCCCCCGTAATTATATCGACAACGACGTATGCACGATATATATATTTTTGATACAACGAATATACATCGTAAAAAACCATCACTTTATGTTAAAACAATATTTACGCATGAACGACGTTATAACGCCGTCACAAATAGTTTTTTCCACGTTTTTATCAGTCTCGGACCGATATGCGTTCTGCAATAGTAAATTAAAATAATACATATCGCGCCGTCCAATACATATCGCGCCACGGGTACTTGCGCTTGATGGGTCAGCTCTAGTGTTCTAGATGTGCTAGTCGCGGCGTGTTTAATACCCCGAGAGGGTTTATGAATGATCACAGATCTTAACAATGTTTTTAAAAATTTAAATACGTGTGACATTTATTACATACTAAAATATGTAACAACAAATTTCGTATTTTTATCGTTTTAAATCTACATTCTTCTATTACTATGATACTCTTTTTCTTCCCCATCATGATCGCTGGATGTTCGAGGGGCATTAGTTTGTTATTTAAAGACAAAGTGTATATCAATTCATAAACACAGTCTCACTCAAGATCACCGGAATCGTGAGCAAAACCGTCGCATAACAAAGATTCTAAAACCCCATGTAATCGCTTTAAACCGACAAAGCATTCAAAATCGGCATATACAGTATGTAGATCATCATGACAACCGCCAAACCCCAAATGATAAAACGATTCATCAACGTATAGTTCGCGACCAACCAATAAATTTCGACATTGAATAATGCCAACACCATCACTGCTTAAAATTTGGCGACAACAAAACTCGAAGGGCATATAATGAAACCACCATTACCCACCCTCACGTCGTATAATCAAATGTTTTGCCCATTCGGCGAGAATAGTATAGAATTTTCGCTCCCCGTCACACTGCACAGACACGGATATTGTTATAGGATTTATCCATAGTAAAACATCACGTACCTCGTCCAATTCGCCGTGGAACCATACATCGTCGGTATCAGTAATCGCGTAGTCGTATATACGTTTTTCTTTTGACGGGTTTGGTTTGTATGAATATAAATATTTATTTACGCCATATAACACCCATAGAATAGGGTGATATGGGTATACTGCAAGCAAATTCTGTAACACACGAACTATAAAATATTCGCCGGGCTCATAACCATACCGCTCAAAGTATGTTTTACCATTTTCCATACTCTTGTAAATAACGTCCAAAAATCTCTACTTCATGCCCACTACAATGGTATTTATAACCCTGTAAATGTTTTCCACACGTGCGGGGTGCAAGACCATATTTGGTCAATAACGTCTCGTATCGTGGACAAGCCAATAATTCTATGTTCACACCCGTATAACCCAAACGATTTAGTAAATTACGCTCGATCGCACCGCCCTTGTAACCAATTAAGTCTGCATTCCTAAATATTTGACGTAAAAATATTATCACTTCATCATATAAATAATATTTTCCCGGTATACCAATATCAACACCGTCGCAACACCTTGTTATGGGTAATCCGTGTATACGGTTGATTTGATAACATACACAACCGTGTTTTTCGTAAAATAACACCCTATTCGGCATATATATGTGGTATGTCACGCTTGTGTCCGTCTGTCTACACCATATTGAAACCTCGCGTAAAAAGTTTTAGAACGCGGTGTTGAATAACCCTCGCAATCAATGATGTGTGTAATACGGTCGTAACCGCCCCATTCCTTAACATGTGCGATATCCTGCGTCGTTATTTCGCTGTGTTGTTTTGCAAAGCACGCTGCTATATCGGCCATAACCCACCGCAAGACAACCCGTATACAATGTTGAAAAAAAATTTAATATTTTACAATTTATATGTGTGCCTAACATGGTGGCACAGTTACAATTTACGTAAACTTTTTCTAGACTATTTAATAAACGTTTATAATTCACTAACATGTCCTCGACAAGAAAAGGTGAAATTAGAACTTCTCTCTCGAATGCAATTTTGCAGCACAACTCGCTAGCTACACGTTTAAAATTTACTACATTGTCCATGTTTTGTGATAAAATATCTTTTAAAACAATATCTCGCAGTAAAATATGGTTCCCCATATGAAACAACTCGTGCACACAACTACCTATATTACTATACCTATAACTCATCATACTAGTATATACGTTTTCCGACTCTATAAGTGGTTTATATTTTATAAACAACATACCAAAAACATGGTCTAACAAATTACACATCTTTGTTAAAGTAAAAAAATACATTTTAAAACTCTGAACGTCCTCGGTAACCGTGTAATGACTATACAACCAATATTTTGTATTATGCACCCGACCATAGATAAAAACACTTGAAACATCCTTATTTTCAGCCCGTTTTTCCTCATCAACGTTTACCGTTTGCCCAATTTTAGCATACAACTGTAATCCCGCTACATCATTTTCGGGTTTTGAATAACACCAAGCCATTATTCACTTAACACTCTGCTGTCGGGAAATGTCTCTGAAACATTAAAACAAAGTTCAGCACATTTACATTCTTCAGTTCTTGAGCCGCAGGTGCAACGAGTGGTTATATATCCATAAACATTGGTACGCAGCCGTAACGCATACATCGCCACATTTAATAAACGCCAAGAATAGTGCACATACGAGGTGTATGCGTCACTTAAAATTTTTCGAATTTCATAAACATTGTACTCGTTAAGCAGACAACATTCGCTTAACGTCCCAAACACAGCTGTGTAATATTCTACAATATTCTCTTCGTACACCGCACGGCGATATAACACGCCCACACTATGGGTCAAAATACATGTGTGTAGCACCGCAACGTCAATCCTCGGTGCGATTGTAAATGTTTTGATCTGTGTTTCTTGCAGGTGTGGGTAAATGGGTATCGTTATCAAAACTGTACAATGCCTATTACGCGCCCAATCCACGTGTGTTATTTTCAAAACCCAACCTTTTGTCGTAAATAACACATCATTCAAATATACATACACGCTGGATAAGTGCATTACTGTCCCATGAACACAGATTTTAGGACCCTCCCAGCACGAATCAACTATTTGCCCAACCACATTTGCGTCTTAGGATAGGATTACGCTCTAGAGACTTCCGCTTTATTTCAAGCATAAATCAGTATTTTTGAAACTTTTGAACCACATATTCTATTATATTAAAGCTAAAGACCTTGTGGTTCCATTTATCGTATTTTGGAATTGAATTTATATTGTGGTGTAAAGTTATTTTGGATCGTATTGTGTTCATTATTGTTGTGTCACATGCTGCGAAGCTGAACGTTTGGATATTGCTCGTTATCTTTGGCTTTATTTGTCGTATTCGTGTGTAACTTGCTACGTATTCTGCCAACGGTGTTATATCTTTCGCGTGTTAATTTAGTCTCATTTGGTTACCTTGTTCATGTTTTATTAAACTATTATTATTTTGACCGTTGGTGCTTTAAATTTGAATTTGCCACGTCCCGTTCCTAGGCAACAACTTTACGGCAGCGTATCTTGGTTCTACATATTTCAAAACATTTTTATACTTTGGATTTTTATTGTTTTTATCATCCGCTACATTTTGGTATAGTTTTTGACAACTTTGCCATTTGGAATAACATTTGACTATATATATATATATATTGACTATATGTATGTATTGTCTCGTAGTTGACCTTTGACTTGGCTAATGCTCTCGTTTCCTATGTGGGGTTTTCCCTTATAAAATTTAAAGGAGATATACAATGAATTTAATTACCCGCCGACGTTTGCCCAACTTAATCTCCAGTTGCCTCCTGTTTCTTTCTATAACCTTTTGGCTATATTCTAGATCTAAACCAGTAGTAGATTCTGAGATCCCCTCATCAACGCCGCAGACTTTCAATATCTCGTCGGAACTTTCATCAATATCAAACAGATTAAGCTATATTTGGATAACAACGCGTGATAATATTTTAAGGAAGTGTTCATTGTCCAGCAACTACCGTTATGGCCTTCTATTCCAAATCAATAACAACACGCACCTCCTGTGGATCTTATTATCTGGTGACATTGCTACCAACCCAGGTCCTGGTAATGATCATATCCTTCGGTGTCTTTCCTTCAATGCCCAGAGTATTTGAAGTAGCACAAAATTACCTGACGGGACTTTTATTGATAACATGAAGTCTTTCCAAGATTTGGTTTACGCAGATAATCTTGATTTGATTCTCGTAACTGAAACATGGCTTAACTACGGTGGCCCAGAAGGGACATCACTTTAACAAAGATAAATAATACTAATATTATTTTCTACTACCACTTTCATTCGAATTTTGTGCAGACCATTACTTCAATAAAAAAATATTACATTTTATTAAAAATGAACACACACTCTCTCACTAAAAATGTGCAGCATGTCTTTACTAAACTTCTTAAAACGCTGCGCGCGCAGGTTTACGCGAGGAGACTGGGGCAAATTTTCAAAATTACTATACCTTCCACTTAAGAAGATTTTTTTCCAGAATGGAGAATATTTTGCTTCCATTTCAATACGAATTTTTTATAAAAAAATGCAGCTATCAAATAAAATTTATTTTCACGTTATTAATGTAATCCTTCATATTATGAAAGATTATTGAGTGAGTGAGTGTAATATTTCAACTTTTACAAGAATTTTAGAATGGAAATTTTCTTTGAAAAAGTTCATTACGGAAAGATATTTTTTATCACACTGTGGAAACACGAAACGCGCCAACAACGTTCATATGTTCATATCCTCACTGAATATACATAAAACTAGATCGAATATGTCTGAGAAATTTAAGGAAGATATTAGAAACACAATCCAACAAACTGTGAGGGAAGAACTGTCAAAAGTTCTGCCAAGTAATAAAGATACAGGTGAATGCAGTAGTTCAGAAACTTCGCAAAGTACGCCGACAACATCGACGACAAGTGCAACACCAAATAGCGAGACGAGTTGTCAGTCTCGTGGTCAGTCTTCAACGTTAAGTTTTCGAGACTTTTATCGTATTCGAGAGGCTAGTAGACAAGAGGATTTTAAACCAACGAAAAAGAAGAAACGTGGAAATGAGGCATCAGCTTCGGGGGCGAAGTCAAAACAACCAAAGGAAGTTGAAATCAAAGTCGGTATGGCATATGTTATTGATGGTGTCTTTAAAATACGACGAAATAAGACTCACATATTGAAAGTGAAAACTGATATCGAGAAGGAGGAATTGATTGAGAAAGCAATCATTAAACATGGCAACTTTGATCAGTCATTTGATCGTGTAAGTCCCTATGTCCTTCTTTATCCAGACTTTAGTGAGGTTAACTTTGTTCCAGGAACTGAAGAAATATTCTCTCTGGTGAAATATAAGGAGGCTATCTCCAAAGACTACAAGAAACTTACATTTTACCTTTGCCTTCGTGATGAGTATCAGTACAACCAGTTTTCTGACTGGTCTTCTCCTGATGACAATGAGGAGAACAATGACACTAAACATGAGAAAAATGCCACAGTGAACACAACTAAAGATAGCCCGCCTATTTTTGTCATGGATGATGATGACGACCCAATGCTTTTACTTGCTATCAACCGGAGCCAACAGGATGAAAATATGCCTGTTCTTAGTGAAACAGCAAACAATGAGGAAAAGATGTCTGCAGAGCCCAGTTCACTAGATGAGGCACTTGAATTGAAAATGAATGATATCCCCAATGACAATTACACAGTTATTGAAGTAACCAGAAAACATCTGGTGGAAAGAACATTTGAGCTGCTGAAAGATGAAGATGATATAAAGGGTAGAGTTATAGTTAAGTTCATTGGGGAAGAAGCAGTGGACACTGGGGGTGTTACTAGAGAATTTTTTACTAATTTTTTTCAGAGTATATTAAGTAATGGTAATATATTCCGTGGTAGCTATCCCAATTTAACCTTTAGACATAACTTGCATGCATTAGAAGAAGGCCAGTTTGAGATGTTCGGAATATTAACTGCCATTGCCTTACTGAATGGATGCCCTGGGCCTCATTTTCTTTGCCATTCACTTGCATCATTCATTCTTGACAATCAATTAGAGGTTGTTCTAGATGATGTGCCTGCAGAATCAGAGTTTAAAACAAAACTGATTCAGATTCAAGGTTGTAATAATGAGGCTGAGCTTTCAAATATAGTCAATTCTTTCCCTGAACGATTTGACATGGGGTACACTAAACCAGTTCTCACTTTGAATGACAAGGATGATCTAATTAGATTTTGTTCCAAGCATGTTGTAATAAGCAGTGTTGCTGAAGAAATTTTTAGTTTTCGCAAAGGTTTAAGCATCTTTGGTGTGTTGCATGAATTATGTAAGTTTAATGAAGCTGGACTGGCAGAGTTAGTGTACCAAGATATAAACACCGATCATGTCAAAGCGTGTTTTAAACCTTGTTTCTCAGCTGTTGGGACAGATGAGCATGGCAAAGAAACAGAAATTGTGTACAAATGGCAACAGTTTTTGAAAAAATCCAAAAGTGGTAAATTAAAATCTAAGGTGCTTGCTTGCCCAGATTGGAATAATCCTGATCAGGCTATAAGTGTAGATGATTCACCAGTTGTTAAAAGTCTTTCCCTAAATGATATATTACAGTTTGGGAGTGGTTCACGATTCCCTAATTTTAAAGGCTCTCTAGCATTTGATCACCAGTGTACTGATGCACATAAGAGGCTAACTGGTAATACCTGTGCTTTAACCATTTGCATACCGGTAAATGAGAGGTACACAAAATGTAACACAGACACATTTGCCTTAAATATCATGGAAGACATATTTCAAGACTATGGACTTGGGCAGAGATAGGTTCACCATATTTAATGCTCTATAACAAAATGTTGTGTTGTGTTTATTAATTAAGAATAAGTAAATTGGTAGCTTGTTCTATGTTGCAGACTGTAAATCACCTATTTGTGCCCTCTCCCAGCATCCCCAATTTCAACAAAGAAAAGCATGTTTATTGACTTAATTCATTTACTGTTTGGAAAGAAATACATGTTTAATTATCTGCTACCCCTAGGTACCCCAATGCACCTCTGAAATAAGGGAGATTATTATTAATAGATGATTTACAGTAACTATGTTACAGGTAATATAAAGATGTTCACATTCAAGAATAAAATGTTCTGTTCAACTAATATTGTTATGTTCAGAAACACTGTTTTTGTTGAGTTCTGCCACTGAAAAACATTGATGATTTACAATTATTTATCAATAGTTTTTGAGCTCTATTAAATAGACTGAATACTTTATTTTCCATTTATTTATGTCAGATGCATAAATGTTTTTCTATGAATAACCCAAAAATAACACCAAAATATTTTTGTAAACAATTGGCAATTATGTGCTTGGTAGCACTCAAAGTTAATTAGCTTCTGTTAGCCCTGTAGCAAAATTAACTAGTGACTGAAATAGTTCTCCAGCTTCAAAGATTGTAGTGGGGTATGTTAGTCCATTATTTTCCATAACATAATGAAAATATTCTTCCCAAACCTCATCTGTTTCCTCTTCTCTTGACCCACCCAGAATTTGTTGTTCTACTTCTTCTAACTTGCATAGTGGAACTTGTGCTAGGCAGTCTTGCCTGTCTCCTCCTGATTGTTCAGGGAGGAAATAGAGAATATCTGGAACGCCAGGTACGGTCGTTTCATGGGATTTCCTTATCCTATGTGAATTCCAGTGCTGTTTTGCTTTGTCTAGATCTGTTTGAAAAACATCTGCAAAACAGAACCATAGTGCCTCTTTATGGATGTCGTTTGTCATGTCAAGAATACCTGACTGCAAAAGGTCAGCAAAAAAATCGATCCACCAGCTAGAACGTAGCTTTCTTAGTGAAGACCAGTAGCACTCTATTCTTTGGTTTCTGGGACTTGATAAATACTGGTGAGCTTTTGATCCAGAAAATTCATCTTGCTGATTGGCGCGAAGATAACATTGCATGGCAGCAATTAAACCATTTTCGGTTCCACGGTCAGTTAAAAGACGGATAGGGCATCCCCCTGTGGCTTTGACGTAATCGAAAAAATACCTGGCAATAACCTTTGGGTTTTTGTTTGACCGTTGAACTTGCAGCCACAATATTCTCCGGCTAAAGCCGTCGATGCATCCGTGGATTGAAAAGCCATAGGGCTTGAGTTTATCGTAGCCATCTGCATGCCAGGCAAAATTTGGTCCTGGACTAACATAAGTACGACGGTGAAGACGTCGGCGTTTTCGAAGTTGAACTCCTTCCGGATCGACTTCTTTCATTATGGATGCGACTAGCTGACGAGGAACATTAATGTGGTGCCGTAGTCTTAAAATATGCCACATCGTACGATATCCATTTAAACTGTCAGGCCCAGCCGAGAGCTCTTCCTTTATGATATCTCTAGCTCTGCCTTCAACATTTTCGTCAACAAGTTCGCGACGCTTTAAACCAAAATCTTTCAGTCTCCGTTTTAAAGTTCTCTCTGACAGTCGTATGCCGTGGTACCTTTGTAAAAAAAGCACAATATTCTTGTATTCGAACCCTTTATGAAAATAGTATTCAATAATCTCTCTTTCTGATCCAGAATTAGGTAAACCTTCCCTATCAAAGTTGTTCAAACGGTTCAAATCTTCCTCGTCTTCCGCCATTTTGTTTTGAAAGATTCGCCCCAGTTTCCTCGCGTTAACCTGCGCGCGCAGCGTTTTAAGAGGTTTAGTAAAGACATGCTGCACATTTTTAGTGAGAGAGTGTGTGTTCATTTTTAATAAAATGTAATATTTTTTTATTGAAGTAATGGTCTGCACAAAATTCGAATGAAAGTGGTGGTGGAAAATAATATTAGTACCATTTATCTTTGTTAAAGTGATGTCCCTTCTGGGCCACCGTAAGTTTGGACGTGCCGAAGGAAATCTCGCCGTTCAACTCAAAAATATATACTATAAAACATTTTGACAGTCCCAAAACTTATGTTGTACTAAACCCCAGGTATTGTTATTGATCCTGAGCTTTTAGTCCTTGTTTTAATCGCTCTTAAACATAAATAAATTGGCGTTTTTCAAGTGATGTTATTTTCGTCATCGGCATCTTGTTGGCCACTATGAGCACTTTGAATATGGCAATATTTTTGTCAATTTTCAAATGCTTTTTTTTCGACCTTAAAACGTTAAATCTTCTTGAAACTTCGCATATAGATGTATTTTGCATGGGTATAAAATATTCCTGAGGTATGACGTCTTAGTTTTATCTTAAACTTCCAAAAACTCAGAAAAAGCAGCCTAAAACGCGCGGTTTTTCTGACCGTTCATGCTTATGGCCGTGTTTTTTCGTATTTTTTTGCTAATATGTGATTTGTTTGCTTTGCGAATATTAAATTAATTTATAATACTACTGATATAAATTAAATTTGGTAGTATAACTAATATTTTGGGGCAAGATTTTTCTGATTGAAAAATGTGCATATTTTGAAAAAAAAATGTAAAAAGGACTGGGTCTACCTACAAAAAAAGCTTCAAGCACGGCTTCAACTTCCCCCCCTGACTTAGCCTTCCAGTTATTATTAGAGTTCACTGATGTCACCCACTGAGCTGTATAATAACTGGAGGACCTGCTCCTATCTCTCGTCAGTCAAGAAAGTGTCGCCAAAAACATGGCGGATTTTCATGTTTGCTGACGCCAATTGGTTCCTCCGGCTCATGGCAATTACCACTGACCAACCGCGATCCTACGCTTGAAATAAAATCCTTCACCCCCCTGGTTTTTGCACAAATTTTGATAATAATTTTCGAGTTTCGACTGAAAATCTTGATATTTTTGCAGTCGAGGAAAAAGTGTGTTAGTTTTAACTTTTTAGTCTGCCTGTAGATGAAACAATTCACTCGAGAGGATTATTATATTTCTTGTTTTCAGGTAAGATTAACGAAAGTTTTATTTCTTTTACTTTTTTTAAATTCTACCTTACCAAAGCTTGGGCTGCTTCGGGCAAATTTAACTCAGTTGCCATTTCGATGGAAAAGCATAAATACATAAACATTATGTCAAAAACTACCGTTATAAACAACAAATGTTGTAATATTGCTAATTTCAACAATATCACAGTAGTTTTGTATCCTCTTTTTTGTTGTTCTTTATATTCAAACTCATTCTCATACTGTAATTTTGTCTCATATCTTGGGTTCAAAATCCTTTTCCCGACTTGTTTTGTTTTATATACTTTGAAATAATGAAATCCGTGATCGGTTTTAACTGTTAACTACCAGGTTTTTGTAGCAGTATTTATTTAGGATGCATGTGCACAACCTACCTTTTCAGTACCCTGCCAGTTGCCACTCTGACACTTTCAAAAAAAATCAGCATTTAAACCTTTATTATAAGTAATTAAATAAGGAACACTATGCCCTACTTTGTTATCTTACCCAGTCCAATACCAGATAATTTTACTTGTTAAGGGGAAAGTGCTGGTGCACTCAATTGCTTAATAATTTTAAGTCATATAATATTAAACATCATTTTTTTATTTGTATCACCCCCCCCCCCTTTTGGATATTCTAGCACATTTTACTTGTGGATCCCCCCTCTACACTGTCACAGCTGTAACTTGTAGCACAGGCTGTGGGAGTCTAAATCGTTTCTGTAATTCATGTAATGACCCAATATAGTTCAAGTGCCCTCACAAATCCAATGGAATTTGCTTATCCTGAGGCTGATGCTCAAGCATGAACAAGAAAAAAACAAATAAGGTGTTTGAATGCAAGGGCTGTTGCAGAAATAACTTTATTTGATCATTTCCATTACACAATAGCATGTTTATTATATACAAAGAGTGTCAAAGACCATATTCTTCACACTGAACATCTATTACATATTGCAGTGTAAGGATGTATCTTAATGTATTAATGTTACATTCTGATATTCTGTCATTCATTTTGCAGGTAAAATCATTCACAGGCACCACATGACATATCACAATGGATCAAAATGCTGAACAGCCAAAGCAAAATCATACCCATCTGGCTACAAAGTCATAATAATAACTTTGTCTTGATAGTTTTATCACTGCTAACAAAACTAATTATTTCTAATAATTGATAATTGATTATTCTTTAAAAAAGAGGTTGAACTATGAACTGTCTCACCATCAAATAATTCTGCAATTAGACCAAAAAGAGATTATATAATTAAAATGTTGTAAAATAAAGTTTTCACTACAGACAAAAGAGTAAGAAAGTGAAGAAAGGAAATGAGAAAAGCAGCTATTTAAAAGCCACCACACTATTTAAAGGCTTGAATGTATCATGCAACTACCTGAAAAATAATACTATAGGTCTTTCACCTGAAATGTTGAAGTTCATTGATTTCTTAGTTTCAGGTAGTTGCATCTGATATAGGGGTGCACAGAGAGAGGACTGAAATGAACAAAACCCCAAATAAATCCACCTGCATGGACTGGAAGTGACATTATCTACCAATTAAATTGTTTCTGACTTGATGTCTGAGTAGCATGTGTGACTTTCTCAGTTCTGGCCTGTATAATGAGATCCAGTGCAACCCTATAAAGCCTATAATCTAGATACTTTGCTTAATACCTACACTTGTGATTGGTACCCAACATTCAAGAAGTGCAATCTTATTTCTAGTGGTTCAAGACCCCTAAATCCAACATGTCATTAGTCAGAAATCTAGGTAGAAATCATGTCACCAGATAAGTTGCCCACAGTATCCTGAGCTTCTGGTACCCCTAGGCTAGCTTCTACTGGCACCCTAGATTATGCATACTATAATAACCACAGACTCTAGTATATATAAACACAAACAAATATAGATAGAAGCACATTGTTTCATGCCTTTACACCTGTATATACTTATTTAGCACATACAATTGCATAAAATCAAGCATGTCAAGATTTCAGTCATCAGTCTATATAGAAAACCCAAAGGATTTGAGGGAAAAAACTGATTTATTAAACTGAATTAAATAAAACAAAATTTGTTTATTTAACAAAAACCATGGCCTGCCAACAATTTAACAAAGCTAGTATAAAAGTGAAAAAAAAAACTTTGAATATCAAAACAAAGTTTCTGTATTTTTTACGACAAAGTTTGAATACACGGGGGAAAATAATACGTTATACTATTCAAATAGCCTGTTATCTAATGGATTATATTCTATCATTTACTCCCACTATCTTTTAAAAATTAAAAATATTAAAAAGCATGTCAATAGTATGTGAAATATTTACCTGTTAGCTGTGCCATCAAATATCGCCTTTGCCTAACTTTCTCGGGGTTTTCATATTGATTTGTTGTCTTTCCCGGGTGAGAATAGCGTGCACGACTTTTAAATCTTTGAACCAATGGTCAAAAGTCGAAAAAATATAAAAAACAACGAGAATTTGCTGCAAAAACTTCGAAAAGCAAAAATATTTTTGATAAAACCAGGGGGGTGTGAAAATCGCAGCGGGCTCAGAATTGAGCCTGGTCAGTGGCAATTTCATGAGCCGGAGGAACCAGTTGTCATGGAAATGGCGTCATATGGCGCGAAAATCCGCCATGTTTTTGGCGACACTTTTTGATGCCGAGCACGTCCTCCAGTAATATAGTATAGCTCAGTGCTAACGATCCAAGATCCGACACAAATCGAAGCCAGCCTCGTACCCAGGCGCAAATAACGTACTAAAAATTAGCAACACTACAGTGTTTTTATATAGATCAGTGGCTAAGAGAGCGAGCGCTTTTAGTACGTTATTTGCGCCTGGGTACGAGGCTCGAAGCCGAAACCCATCCTCGTTCCCAGGGCTTCTCGGCTGCCTGCGTTGCCATAAGCCCTGGGACAAGCCGAAGCAGAAGTGATTTGATTGGTCGTTGGAAATAGAGTGAAGTATGAAAAGTTTATTCATCAAGTGGATGTTTATATTCGGCAATATGGCTGCCTTCAAGGAGTGCGCGCTCGAAATACGAAGAAATACAAACGTATACTGCTTGTTTTGTATGGATTAATGGAGATAATTTGCACACAGAAAGAAAGAAAATAACAAAATGGACAATTATAAAGTAGAAGTAAGCAACAATATCGAAGAAACGTAAATTATGAAGCCATTAAAAAGTTTCTTCATTTTAACATTTTCTTGTTATAAAGTTGTCTATTATTAAAACATTGTGCTCAAGTATAATTGTAAAATTTTAAGCACCCTGTAAATGTAAAATGTTTAATAATATATATTTACGATAGTAAAGTTTTAATGGTGTAATATATTGTGTTTCATTATAAATTATTATGCTTTTGGTATTGGTCACTTGGCCTATTACCCGCCTATATTAAAATGGCCCTATATTAAAATGGGCCTATATTAAAATGGCCCTATATTAATATGGCCAATTGGAATTTTTAAATATAGCATATAGAATATTATAGGTGTATTTTACTATTTCTGAATTTTCTCAGTTGTATTATTAGTGAGTAATTTTAATAGCTTTTAATTAAATACAGTGAATAAGCTTATATTAAGCATATTCAATTGCACCAGTCATTTGAATCCCAGAGGGGAATGCAAGGACAATCACCTCTTATTCACTTACTCTCAGTGTCAAAGTCGAGGAATGAATGAGGTCATGGGGGAGGGGGTCACTTATAGTCTTTTATATAAATGTTGAAATAAAGCAGTCGGCTATATAAATGCTGAAATAAAGCAGTCGGCTAGGAAAGGTTTAGTCTTTTATATAAATGCTGAAATAAAGCAGTCTGCTAGGAAAGGCTTTTACAGAACAGTAAAGGAATGGTTTGGGAAATTTCAAGTAAAAATTCTAATTGAATACCTGGGGATGATAGGGCCGAAGAAATTTACCTTGACATTTTGTTCTGGCTGCAGGGGACTTCACTGAATTTCACACACCAAATTAAGTGAATGCCCCTGGTATGCCCGAGTTGGGGGTCTCGAATTCTTGTGTCATATTGGAAGAGATCATGAATTTACACTGTTTCCTGTCAACAGTTCAGAATAGAATACTTATTCTGTTGACTTATTGCAAATCTTGTAAGAATTGAAATTATAAAATAAACTATTATTATTGACAAAACTGAAAATTTGTATATGTGTATGCAGGCTTCTAGCCAGGAGACACCCTACCATGTCTGTATAAAAATTGATTTTAAACAAACCATTACAAAAATGACATAAAAGTTGCTTTGTACTCTGAAATTCTGGTTTAAGCCTCCTGCTATAGACACATTGAACTTGAAAACTTTTCATATTTTTAATGTGGAAATGTGTAGTAATATATTGATAAATCAGAATTTTAACCCCACCTCCCTTACCATCACTCAGGTATACATCCTGTTGTGGTGGAGATTTAAATTGGACACCTGGATAGATACTAGAAAACGCTTAGTCACACTTCTGGATAATGGGGGGGGGGGCAATGAACTCCATGATGTGAAATTGTAAGAAATTTAAAAATTGACCAGTGATAACTTGACATTATGTAAGAGAGTCAAATTTGCTAACACTACCCTCCAATCATTGGCTATCCCATTTGGCCTCAAATGATTTGGCCCCTATCTGGAACAGAAATTATGTGCACTTGCATGTAGAAAATATATAGGAATGCAGAAAATATTGTTATACTTTAATCTGAACACAAAAATTTCCCTGAAACAATTAACATACATTGGGCCATACAGTCATGCACATAGTTTTGACTGTCAGATCAGATGTATAAACTAGTTCAGCATAGTGAGTTGCATTCATGGCCAAAGACATATTAGGTTAATTATTTTACATAATTATTTTTCGTCATTTGCCACGCATGTAATCGGTGAAGGATTCAGGATTATCATGGAAATAACGTTTTAAACGTGCTATATAAAACGGTGTTCAATATTCATACTACATGATGGGCCATATGGCCAAACAAACACCTTGTGCTTTTTTGCTCAGATTTACGCACGCATTATTTTGTATACATAATATAGATTTAAATCTAGCAATTCAAATCCAAAACTCATGGGGTCATGCACTACATCTATCTATAATTTTATATTTTCTTGAAATGTTAGGTGATTCATTGTTGTTGCCGTTGTTGTAACCCAGTAAACAGACACACACCGCCGTTTAGACATGTCAGTATGTCACATGTCATTCTTGTTCCTTTTATATACATACGATAGACGATAAAGCTTCGAATTACTTCTCTTTAATTTCCAGTCCGGCTTTGTCCAGTCTTTGAAGTGACTTTACAAGCGCGTGTTGAAACAGGTCATCTGTACAAGGACCCATGATGTTTCGAATCACAGCGGCCACTTCGAGCACATTTCGACTCGATCATGTTTACATCATACATGAAAATTGATACATGTAATACGAGACCGAAATATGGTTGTGTTTTGACGAATATTAACGATATAACGAAATATAAACCCCCAATATGTATAATTCCATTAGGTGGTCTGTATATATTCCCTTGATGGTGGAAAATACATCGAAACAAAAGAAAAATCCAATATTTTCTGCTCACCAACACGTCTCCACTCCTCAGTAAAAATTAGTGCATAGTCAGCAGTTTTAGCTTGCAGCAGAGCGCGTTTACTTCCGGAAAACACCAGAATTTGTGGTGTTCCGGTTTGGCTTGTCCCAGGGCTTATGGCAACGCAGGCAGCCGAGAAGCCCTGGGAACGAGGATGCTGATAAGTACGAGTTCAAGTTGGTCCCAGTCCACTTCTCGAAAATTGAACTCGTTCTTGTACTCGTTCTATTATCTAAACCTCCGTTATAAATTAGTTAAATTCCCCACTCCGGGCTAACATGCAGAAAGCAAACGCCCGACCCTGGGAACAAGTCAGCCTAGACCTAGGCCTAAACTCGGCTGGTAATTATCGCAATGGTCATTTGCCTCGTAGAGGCCTAGTAGATTTCACAAGTTCTCAAATTAGCCCCATAACTTTGTGATCCGAAATTGATCAGAAACCAACAACTAAAATAATTTATACTGTCCAGTAGTTATTACATTAACTATAAAAACATTTTATGACTAAACTAAGTTCTATTTTGTAGTAATATTTTGACTCATTTTGACCTTTCCCAACATAATAATAGTGTAGCTTCAAACTTTGTGATTTTCTAGGGGTGTATACAAATAAAAATAGTACGTTTATACTATAAATGAGTTTATTTTACCTGTATCGATTTAAATTCGCTGTTAAGTTGCAAATAGTCCCAGTCTTTTCATGTGGAAAAGCGCTGAAAATTAAAAAAATAATAAAAATAGAAGGCCTAGGTCTAGGCTGGGAACAAGTATAATTGATAATATCCGACAAACGCCCGTGGGGGCGGGGCACCATGGAATTGATTGTGATATTATTAATGGTTTTTACAAAATCGTGTATGTTTGTATCCTGGACAAATTTTTCAATATCTATTGTATCTTCGATATCTGGATGAAACTTTTTAATAATGCTTGCAGCATTAGAATAGAATTACTCTTTACCGTTTGAGTAAAATCTTTTTGATAGGTAAAAACTTTGTTTCGCTATACTTGTATCTGGTAATTGACTAAGGTGGCTAATGTAAGAAAATAATCTTTTGAATATGGGGATTAGGGACTGGTCATAAAGTAACTGCTAGGGTGTGCTGGAGGTAAATCACAAATTTTGCCAATAAGTTCGGTGACCCATCTTAGGATGAAGATAAAAATTTCAAAACCCATCTAATCTTACAAAAAAATTTTCATGACTCTCCCAATTTAGATTGGGAAAATACACTTTTATAATAAAAAAAACTTGCAGGTATGAACATTGTAAATATACACCGGCACTGTATTGACAGACATAATTTCACCAAGCTTGACCAACACATTCATCACCAATTACGATACTGAGCTGCTCTCCAGTTGGTTGTATTTGCTGTGATTCGACCAGTTCTTGTTGTTGTATAAACAAAGTACTGGCTTCAATAGCATTATTTGCATTATGATAATTTGGATAGTTTTGTTTACTTTTATTATTAATATCTTTATTTTTTGAAGTAGACGTGCATGGGGTTTTGTTTGGTGGCTCAACCGTGGACATACAAAAACATTGGCGGCCCATTGAAACTGCCCAAAGATTTTTCATGGCCCATCCCAAATCACTCTAGCCCACCCTAGCAGTCACTTTATGACCGGTCCCTTATTAGAGGGAATTTATCTAATTCACCCCTACTAGCGATATTGCTCGCTTTCCTGTTCACACCGAAATAGAGTTTGCAGAATTTCAGATGTGTTTTCTTAGTACTAGTTTTGTCCCATTTAGTAAAATCATTGTTACCATAGGCTCCCCAAACCTCAGAATTATAAAGCAAGATTGGAGAGACTATGCCATCAAAGATTTTTATGGCAAGTTTTGGTGTAACTTTCTGAAAATCAAGACTTTTCCGTATTTTAAATAAGGCATGCATAGCCTTTTCACTCAGTTGGTGAGCCGCAACTGAAAATTTAGTGTTAGGAGTCAGTTTTAGACCGAGGTAAGTGTATTCTTTTGTGTTATGAATACGTTTATCTTCCAAAAAAATTCGTATGTTTGTAGTTTAGAGTTATGTTTTTGTAGAATCATAATTTTTTTTTTTTTTTCAAATTAATATTCATTAGCTATTTTTTGCTCCATTCATTGAGGGAGTCTAAGCAGTTTCGGAGACCAGATTTTGACCTTGATAGTATGACAATATCATCCGCATATAGTAGACTACTTAGTCTCGTTCCATTTGATAAAAGGAATGGGTCTGGGTTTACTTTTTCAAACAGATTAGGAAGTTCGTTTATGTATAGATCAAAGAGAAGGGGACTTAAAACACAACCTTGGCGTACACCTCGATTGTAGGAGAAGAAGAGTGTTCTATGACCCGATACTTTCACTGCACACCGAGTATTAGAATGCAGATCTTTTATCAGATCATAGAAGCATCCTCCAATTCCATTTTCTAATAGTTTCAAATAAAGACCTTCATGCCAGACAGAATCAAAGGCCTTTTTAACATCAATAAAGCATTCGTAAATTTTCTCATTATTTTGATTAACGTATTTATCATGTAACGTTTTTAAGGTAAGAATATATATGATCGGCTGTTCTGTTATTTGGTAGGAAACCTATTTGGGAAGTGTTTTTGAAAAGTTCATCAGTCTTTCATTGAGGACAGGGCAGAAGAACTTTCCTAACAAGCTTGATACGTATATTCCTCGGCAATAACTTGGGTCTAATTTGTTGCCTGATTTAAAAATTGGTGAGATAAGTCCTTCACACCATAAAGTTGGGAACTTTCCAGATTTCATTATTGTGTTGAATACTTTTATAAAACCATTGGCAAGGATATCAACATTATATTTTATCATTTCATTGTTGATTTTATCTGAGTGTGCAGCTTTTTTAGATTTATTTTCTTAGCTGTTTTTATTATTTCTTCAATTGTTATTTCCGTATCAAGCTCATTGAGGAGATTTTTCGAATTTTCCTTTTGTTTCAATTTTCCGATAATTTTTTCTTGTTCTTCACCAAGATGGTGATCACAATGTAGTTGTTGAAAATGTGGGTACCATTCATGATTTTTTGGTGAGTTTTCAGAATTAATTTCAGTATTAAGGTCGTCTGTCAAGTGCTTTAGTGTTTTCCAGAAAAGGTTAAAATCATTTTGACTAGCTGTTTCTAGTTCATTAATCTTTTTGTTGTGAAATTCACTTTGTTTCAGCTGTAGGGTTACCTTATATGATTTCAAGGCATCATTGTAGTTTTTTCTAAGTTCAACTTTTGTAGGATCTCTATGCTTTAAATTAGATAATTTCCTTAAATTATGTCGTTTGATTCTACAGTCTTTATCCAACCATTTCTTTTGAGCAACGTTAGTGATTTTTCTTCTTCGTTTGCACTTTTTAATTTTCAAACTTTTTTTCGATGTTTCGAGTAAGATGTTTTGGAATTCAGTTATAAATTGGTTTGCTCCATTCAAATCATTTGTGAATTCTGAGTTCATAAATTCATTCAATTTCTTTTGCATTTCTTGCGATCTTAATGATTCTCTAAAGTTATTTTTAGAGTGGTTATCCCAAATGTATTGGTTTGGTAATTTAGTCATTTCATTGTTACATCCAGGTATCATACATCCAGGTATCATGGTACCGATACCAACCCGTGTAACAATTTGACTATGGTCAGATAGGTATGTTGGTGGTTTTACAACAAAATAATTAGTATATCTAAATAATTCCTGATCACATATGGTGTAATCAACGACACTTATACCATTGTTACCATGGAAAGTAGCTCGTCCAAAGGAATCACCTTTTGTGCGTCCATTTAAAATTTTCATGTCACAGTTTTTACATAGATTAATTAACTGTTTATCATGGTTATTAATTTGGTGGTCGAAATTTAGTCTGTTTTTTGGTTGCAAGCAATTTTCACTAGTGCCATTTATAAAATTGTTGCCATCTTTAGAAATAAAGTCTTCGAGTGTATTGATTCTAGCATTAAAATCACCAAGGATATTATGTTTCCTTTTGATGAAAATTGTATAATATCATTTTCTAATTCATCAAAAATTTCATTTTTAAAATAAACAGATTTTTTTCTGATGGAATATACACACCACATACAAATAGATCATTTTTGGCATTTAACACATCTTTTGATATTTTGCCCCATAGAAAATGTTTTGACTTTTTAACAATTGAAGTAAATTTTTCAAATTTGGTTCTGGTTAGTAGAGTGATACCACCCGATTTGCGACATGCCCGGTTGGTATGAGGTTTTGCAGTATCAGAGACAAAAGACCTGAAACCAGGAACATCTATATTTGAGTTACACCAAGTTTCAGTGAGGAAAATGAAATCTATATTATTAATATGGTCAATGAAGTCCTTGTTTTTAGTTTTCTCACCAAGGACAACATTTGAAATACCATGGATGTTCCACGTAGTGAATGATAAGTTTGTAAATATTTATAAAAAAAAACTAATAAGCAAGTTATCTATAGAATAACCAGGCATTTTCTAATATACTAAATATTAGGTTATCAAAATTTCAAAGTAATAATTAGAAGAGAAGGGGAAGTATATAGAAGATAATTAAGTTCATTATACTCAAATGTTGCATAATTGTCTTACAACCATTAAATATCATTCTTATGTAACATACCTATGTAAGTCCTTGATTAGTTGTATCAGTTGCATTGGTATTTCTTGTTTACTTGTATAATTTCCAAGTCTTGCTTCTTGGTTCCCAAGGAGTGATGTCAGTTTTGGGATTGTTTGTTGATGGTAAGTCGAGGGATATTGATAATGGTTGTTAGGAATTTTTTGGTTGGAACTTTGCTGAGGAAAACTTGCTGGTGGAGAGTGAGGAGGACGAAAAGGAGTAGACTGGTGGTGAGGATTAAAGGTGAAGAAGGGTCGGTTATATGGGATCTGAGACTTCGGAAAATTCTTTCTTGGTTTGTATGGATTCTTATAATATGCACGCTTCGGGCTCTGAGCGAAACGCTTGACTCCAACATCATTGAGATGTTTCTTGTCTTTCAGCTGGTATTGGGAGTTGATGTTGGGGTGTCTGTCAAAGGTGATGTTTTTCTTTGTAGATAATGATTTCTCTAAACTATTGTTTAAGGTCAGTCCCCTCTTGTCTAATTCATCACTTCTTGGGAGAATGGATGAAAAAATTATGTGGGATTCTGGGTGCTTAGTTTGATAAAAATTCCACGGTGTCAGCTGCATACTTTATGAGTGTCTCATGTGTATCTGAGTGTTCTAAGTCATTTGTTTCAGAGTGGATAATGAAGGATTTAGGTGAGGTATATGTAGTACTGTTTATTATTGATTTTGCCTGTGCAAGGGTGGCACGTCGAGTATAGCTTGTTTTGCTGCTGGGACATAATAATGAAGGGTTTAGATGTCGACCATTGCTATCGCAAATTAATATTGTATCAGCTTCATTCCTTGTGTTGTTTTGGCGCGATGTAACAGATTGCTGTTTTGAGAGGGATTTGTGTGTAGGTTCTTCGATGATGGATTCACTGAGAGGGACAGGAATTTGTTTGAAGTGGGATATCAGTATCCGATGCAGGGGAGTTTGATTCGATTGGTACATCATCATTAATTCGGCTTTCGATACTCTCGTTTAATGCTGCCAGTTTACCTATTAATATTGAGTTTTTCTCTTCAAGAGATTTATATTTATGATGCATTTTCTTTAATTCCTCTTCCATTTCGGATTGTCTTAGAGATAAGTCACTGGATAACTGTTGGTTTTTTGAGTACCCTGTCTTTAGGTTGGTAATCTCATTTTCCAAATTTTTAATTTGGATGTCTTTGTCGAATATGGTTGTGCTCAGTTCTGTGATGGTTTTCTTCGTATTTTGTTTAAACTCGATGAAGTCTGCCTCAAGGGTTGCCAAATTGGTCTTAACAGTATTAATCAAGGGGTTTTTCTTTAGGTGAATGGTTTATGCTGCTATTCAAAGGAATAGGATGATCATGATCATGGTTGGTGGTTTTCTGAGAAAGTGTTTTGGCAGTAAAATTGTTAAGATTTTTTGCAGGGTTGCTTTTCATAAGGTCTGGGTTATTGATCAGTTCGATTAATATGGGGAATTCTTCACTACCCCACTATTTCATAAAGCGACCTTGTATTTGGATTCTTCTTTGTTGACCATAACAGTGATACTGACTATATATTTTTCTTTTTCTTGGGATCTCAGGGTGATTGTTACTTTGTCACATTTCGTGGGATCATTCGGGTTGTTTTCTTCTTCCCAGTGGGGGATTATTTTGCCATCATTAAGGAAGCCATGTTTGTAGCGCAGATACATTGCTTTGATCCATATGGGCAGTCTTTCTTCGGTCGAAGAAAAAGCTACGAGATTTGCATTTGGGTGGAAGATTGAGAAATCTAATTGCTCGAGAGGTACACGTTTCATATTCGCGCCTTTAAAGCTGTCAACTTGATAACGGCTGATGTCAAATTTATCTTCTTCGACATTTGAGTCGTTCGATGAAATGGCTTTAGCGTGTTCATCCATATTTCTTTAAAATTCGCTGGTTTTCGTATAAAATATATTATTTCGTCAGACTTTGATCGATGCGAAGCTTTCTTCTAACCTTTATCTAGTATATTTCAATAATACCTGGTCAATCTGTATCGATAAATTAGCAAATATTCATCCTGTAAACGCAGACGCTACAACGCACGTGTTTACGAATCCGCCAAGGTATAAACATTAAAAATATTTAAAAGTAAAAAATTGTTCAGATCTTAAAGTTCCGCATTTAGTTGTGTTCTTAAATAAAATAGTATTGTCTTGCCTATTTCGTAGGCTATACCTGCATTCGCTCATCTTATGTTTTAGCAGCATAAAATGCAGGGGATGATTCTCCTTCTTCATTTTAGTCATCCCCGAGCCGGCGGCGCGAAGCGCCGTGCGAGGGTACTAATCCCCCCCCCCGGCTATTTACACCCGGGGAAACGAAAGCATTAGCGAAGTCTAAAGTTCATCAAATATTGCAGGCGTGGCTCACCAACGATGTATCGGTGGGTGGTCATCCTTACTGATCTCAAAAATATGGCGGACTGTCATGAATAGCGGACACTGATTGGTCCAATTTATAGTTTGCAAGGGTGGGTTGACTACAAAATTTTTGTAGTTCGCTATAACTACAGCTACTTCAAAAATATGTAGTCAGCTACAACTACTGCTACTTCTGAACAAAGGTAGTTCGCTACTGACTACAGCTACTGCTTAAAAAATGTAGCGAACTATTTCGCTATTTCGCTACTCTATATTTTTTAGTTTTACGGTATTTGGAGCATCCACTAACTCAGGCTGTAATGTAACCTATAACAAATCGACTTACGAGTAGCAACAGTAAACAAAAAGGGTCCAAGCTACATTTTTGCAAGCACTAGAGTGTTCAGGAGTGCCACTTTTCATTGCGCTACAATAATCTTTACTGTGTAAAATAATCTTTTAAGCAAACCGTGTCTTAATATCATTCTATTCTATGAACGGTTGCTAACAATTTTAAAAAGTAGCGAATAGCGATTCGCTGTTTGAAAAGTAGTCAACTATTTGGCTACTTTTAGTCAAAATGTAGTTCGCTATAACTACAACTACTGTTTTAAAAAAGTAGTCAAAAACTACAGGCTACTTGAAAATTGTAGTTCGCTACAGTAGCGAACTACAACTACTTCGCTACTACCCACCCTTGATAGTTTGCATTATAACGACTGCATGACGACAGCGAAATAGCAAACATTTCTTGAGATGATGATTGATAAATTTCTTGCGGCAAATATATTTTATTTTTGCTCGCACTTTGACAAGAATTTGTAAATTTGAAAAGCTCTCTCAGAAAGAAACTGCGAAAGAATCGGCTAAAAGAAGGGAGCCGACGTTAACGAAGGTAAGTATGTTTTAAATATTTGATTTTATAATGGCTTTAAAACCCGACGGCCTTTGCGAATGAAATAACTAACAAGACTGCATACAATTTCATTGTATGTTTAATATTGATTCCCTTTTTTATGATATTCAATTTTTTAAGTAAAAAGAAAGCAAAGTTATTTGCAAGCGGAAATTTGAAATCATTTTATTGCAAACTCAAAGCGGTTTATCGATAAAGCCATTTTAAAAGGCAGATTAGTTTTAATATAAAGGACACTAGTGACTTTAAAACGTTTTGCGAAGCGTTTGTGGTTGATTTTACCTTAAACTGAGGCTTATAATACTTATAATAACATACCTAACATATATATGTTGAGAAATTAATAATTTTGTAAATAAAAGTGTATTTTCAGGCGATTTTTCATTTGTAAGAATATTGAATATTCTTAAAAATTTATTGTCTTACCATGACAACTACTTTAGATATTTCATGTTCGGAAAATACAATGGTTTTGTCAGCAAGGCGAGGGTTTCTGCATGCATGTATTTTCTAGTATATTTTTTACATAACAGTTCGCGTCTGCTCTCCAGTGTTGGTATATAGATCTGTGCCATCATCATCGCCTCATTATAATTGTTTATGGAAGGGAAGATGGTTCGAAGTGCCCTTGTCTGTATTGATTCTATCCTTTCACTTAAATAGTCAGGGATCGCTTGCGATACTGGAACAGCATATTCCAATATGGGTATAATATTCCTTTGCGCAACGCCAGCTCTACGAAGTACGCGGGGGGAATATAGCTTCTTACAAGCTTTTTTGTAGAAATAATCAACATGTTTATTCCACTTGAGATCCTCACTCAATTGAACTCCAAATAATTTATAATTGCTACCCTTTCTACTACGTTGCTGCCTATTGCAAAAGGCCTCATTATGGAGTTGTTATTATTCATAAAATTAATTACCAACTCCTTGCATTTAAGTGGATTGAGACTCATGTTATGATTAACAGAGGATTGATGTAATTCATCTACCGTATGGTTCGGATAACTAATTGAGTTCCTGGGAATAATCTCTAGCGCAGCTGTATCATCGACAAACTTTGTCCTTAAATGCCAGTCAGATATTAGCTTATTTTTCATAACCGAGAAAAGAATAACACCAAGTTTAGTGTCACTGTAAAGCATGGCTTCGAAAAGGGCAAAAGTCGACTTTTCTGCTGAAGCCATTTTGCGAAAAATCCAAGAGAGAAAAGAGCTTTTAAACCAGATAAATGCCTTAAAATGTCAACTGGTATTAAAGGAGGTTACGGATAGTCTGAGAAATTTAAGGAAACATGTAAACGTCGATGTTGTTCTGTTGGCTTGCTCGCGTTCATGTTCGGATTTAACACAATTATGTGGATTATGTTAGCAATCAGACATGTACCCAAAACCTTCGCGAGATACAAAAATAGTCGCTGCAACATCATTTTTGCAATAATCGATCACTTGTGTGGTTGATATTGTTTGTTTTCTAAAAAATTTGCGCCTGAAAGCCATTTCTTGGGAAATTATTCTGCTGTTTTTGAGGAAACCTTATGTACTACCTTCAGCAAAAGAGTTAAATTTTGGTGGTTTCATCGTGCCTCCCGTGGAGGACTGCCTGAGATGTGGATCCATTTTGTCAGCTCCAAATCCTCCGAGCAGTTGTCAGTGGCGTAGCCAGACCTTCACTTTTTTGAGAGGGCGAAGGCGCGAGATCATCTAGGGGGGTTCAGAGGCACCCCCGGAAAAATTTTGAAATTTAGAGTCCCTGAAATGCGATTTCAAGTATTTTGGGGGTGAAATCTTGCAGAATTCCGAAGATTATAAAGTACATCGAAAACATAAATTTTCCCAAAAGTCACCTTGAAAAACAGGAGGAGCCGGTCAGCGTCACCTTATTTTCCCTCTGTGATGCTGGGGGAAGAAAATCCCAAGTGATTTGATAAAAAATGTAGCATTTAAATCATTCTAGGTTCTATGAGACAGCATTTCCGCATTCTCAAAATTGCGTTGCTGTTTTATACGATACAGAACAAGTCTGAGAAGAATATTCATGCTATGATAATGCATACATGTAAATCTAAACTAAATCTATTCGTCTTGGAACCATACCTACAACTGCTTTAACGAGATTTTACATTAAGTTCCTCCAGTATATCGTCGTTTTCCTCAGTCGAGACCACTGAGCTCTACTTTTAAATATATCTGGAGATCGTGCTCCAATACCTCGTCAGTAAAAATGTGTGGCCAAAAACATGGCGGAATTTGGTCAAATTTACGTCATTTTGACGTCACAATCGACCTAAATTTATGGTGAACACCACTGACCTAAAATACTAAAGTGAAGAAAAAAGTTATTCACACCCCCTTTCAATTTGCTTAAAGCAGAAGGAGGTAAATTCAAAATTTCGGTCGGAAATTTCAATGTTTAAAGCGAGACATTTGCAACCATGCCAACTTTTTGTTCAATACCTGGTTGCCAAAAATCTACTGAAAGAAAGGACCTGTCTTCACATGGGTAAGGCTCGTATAATCTCGGGGTTTTTTTGTAATAATTTAACGCATGCTGTATAATTTTTTGCTGTATTGAATGCGTATTAAAATTTGTGGTCTTTGTGAATTCATGAAATTTTAATATTGGCAAGCAACTCACAATACAATACAATTTATGTTAGTGAATCCTTGTATTTGAAATTTTGTACTTGGCTATTTATTGGTGTACTACAGTGCAAAAGCTGAAAAGCAGAACAATATTTAAAATGTTGACCGGTTTGTGGAGCTGTTGTCGAGCAATGGCGTGTCACGTATAGCGCTACTCAGGCGCTACTAAACCTTATCACTGTCACTGTCACTGACCTTATCAATACAGTACAGTACAGTACAGTTGAGATATGCAAGGCACCTGGTCTAAAATCCTATCGATATCCTAACAGATCATTTGTATTATAATGCTATTGTATAAAACAAAGTCAAATGAGAACTTGAAAAATATGATAATGATACGACTAGCTTTAAAATTTTTTAATGTACAAAGCCTTTCAGTCGTTATATTGTCTTTATTGTGGACTAAACCATGTGTTGTTCAGTGTGACATTGTTTATTTTGTAAGTTATATGTATCGTATTGCACAGTGTAACTAGACACTAAAAACAATTGTTCATTTACTTTTGAAAGCTTTCCAGATGAGAAGAGATTCCCTGAATTGCACAGCATATGGGTGAAGAATATAAGCAAACTTATGCCAGTGAAGTTTGTTCCTATGAAAAATAGTCGTTTGTGTTCGAAGCATTTTAGTGCAGATATGTTCGAGAAGGGTTATAGTCAGAGACAAGTGTTAAAGCCATATGCTGTACCAACAATCTTTAATGATTGCTTTGGTCAGGTGGGTTGTCGTATTTACAGTTTAGGGAGCGGTCATTATTTATGGTGGAGGGTGGCATCAAAGAGATTTAAAATGGTTAGGTAAACAAAATTTTGAGTAAATAAAAGGGTGGGTAAATGAAAGCTCAAGCGTTGGGTAAGAAAAAAATGTTCCAGGCCAAGCATGTCTTTATTTACTAAAATATTGAAGACTAAAAAGCAATGTCAAAAATCATGTGTCAATACAATATGTGAATCTACCAGAATCACTATCTTGATATTTTCAGATTTGTCGGGACACAAATAATGTCTCCAAAGAAACTACATAATTGTACAGACAATATAAAACTTTAGACGGCAGAAAATTTCACAAACAGTTATCAAACTCATGTCACAGAAGTGGTACCGGTAAAGGACATGTGTCACAATTGAATGGTATCCTTTTGTAAAGTTTTGGCCAGGGGTGGGTATTTATTTTTTAATTGATTTTCAAGGTTGGGCAATCAAATTTTGTACTTTTTTACCCATTGAGTTGCATTGCGCCCTGATGCACCTTACTTTATTACGGTATTTTTGCCACAAAAAACCTTTCTCTTCGGTGCCACCCACCACCATAAATAATGACATGCCCCTTATTATGAGTGTATCAGTATAATTAACCCATTAAACACCAGCCCCCTCCCCTTGATGAGTAAAATTGTCTGGCATTAGACAGAGTAAAATACTAAAGTAGGGTGCATCAGGGTGCAATGAGACTCAATGGGTTAATGGTCATTAATGGGAGGGGTAATTAATACTGAATTTTAACACTATTCAATGATTAATGTCTGGCATACTGTAACTGCCAAAGTTATAGGGATGTAAAGATGTTGTCATGCAACCTCTTTTGCATGATTGGGCCTTTTGATATTGGATAATTGGACAAACCTTAATTTTCATACAATCTATGAATCTAATATATATATATATATAATATATATTAGATTATCTACAATATATGTAATTATTATATATCTACAATATATATTGTGTTATTACCTCTGACACCAGCTCAGTGTATGAGGCAAAGAGCAAAGGCACACAATAGAAAAAGATTGATACAAAAAAGTCCTTTTACAAGTTAGAGCATAAAAATATTTTTACAAATAAATGAGACAGTGTTTATGAGTTAATCATATGGAAGGTTTTCATACCTTATAAACAAACAAAACCTGGCAATTTTTTTCAGAACACGTATCTCTAAACATTATTTGGACATTCTTGACATCCTCTACTGTTGTTGTGGCATCTTATCAGCAAAAGCTGCCAGAATCTTTTTTTCCTATTGTTAACAAATCTCTTTCTTCCTCTAAAAAGAAAGCTGCTGCTCACATCAATTGATAGGTAGCTAATTGATGAATTACATCATTAGTTAGTAACCCTAACCTTAATAGTTGAACATCCTAAAGTATGTACTGTAATTTTGTAAATAATTTTCATATTTTTCAAAATATTTCTTTTGTATTTGTCAGCTTTGGGTGAATAGGCTCATTAAATATGATTTTTGCTTTTCTTACAGGTACCGGTACAAATGGAGTTGTTGCCTTTGGATATGTCGAAGGTTGTTTGTGATGATGATAAGTTGTCTGAAAAGCAAGAGGGTATAAAAGTCACTGATGACAGCTCTATGATTAATGCAGAGCTGGGTAGTGGTATTGTAACTACCAGTACTAGAGAAAAGAGAAAACACTCTGAAGAGAGTGATTATATTAAAGAGGTGCCCATCCCTCAAAAACGAGCGTGTATGGGTATTAAACATGACCACACATATTCTGTCAGTTCTCATTGTAGATTGAAACAGAAGGCCGATAATCTGTTAGATAAAGCAAAAAATCTGAAGAGGAAATTGAAAACATCTCATATGAAAAGTAACAGGATAAAAAGAAAGGTGAATTCTTTGACCTCAGTTGTAAGTGAGCTAAAGAAAGAGAAACTGGTGAGTAATGATTGTGCCAGTATCCTGGAGACAACTTTTTCAGAGGTTCCTAAGGAACTTATGAAAAGGTTGGTGACACAGAAGAAAAAGAAAAATCCAGGTGCGTATCCAGAGGAATTATGAACATTCGCTATGACCCTGAAGTTTTACTCTGCAAAGGCATATAAATATGTTAGAAAGAGTTTTAATTTAGGGTTACCACATCCATCAGTGATCAGCAGCTGGTACACTGCTGTGGATGGGGAACCTGGTTTTACCAAGGAAGCATTGACAGCATTGAAAGCAAAAGTCCTGGCTGGAAAACGAGATGGTCAAGAAGTCCTTTGCGCGCTGATGTTGGATGAGATGTCCATACGCAAGCATGTACAGTGGGATGGCAAGAAATACCGTGGGTTTGTCGACCTTGATACTGGCATTCACGACGACTCGCTGCCGGAAGCCACTGAAGCTCTGGTGTTCATGGCAGTCTCCTTAAATTCTAACTGGAAAGTACCATGTGGGTATTTTCTAGTGAATGGTCTTACGGGAGAAGAGAAAGTCAACCTGACGAAAGATTGCCTCACGAAGCTACACGAAGTCGGAGTGAAGGTGGTCTCGTTCACCTATGACGGACCAACTACTCACCAAGCGATGTTGAAGTTGCTTGGAGCTCGACTGTCTGCTGATAACTTGCAGGTTTACTTTCCACATCCATGTGATAATAATGAAAAAATCTATGTTTTTTTAGATGCATGTCACATGATCAAGTTGGTGCGAAACACCATGTCAGACTGGAAAGTTATGAAGGATAGCGATGGTAACACCATTGACTGGAAGTTTATTGAGGAACTGCATAAACTGCAAGAAACGGAATGTCTGCGCCTAGCGAATAAATTGCGATCCGCGCATGTAGACTGGAAACCTCAAAAAATGAAGGTAAACTTGGCAGCGCAGACTCTAAGCTCGAGCGTTGCTGACGCTCTAGAGTATACTGTGAAAGTAAGCTACATGAAATGCCACAGTTTAGAGGCTGTGGCCCGACGATAAAGTTTATTCGTATCTTTGATCGCCTTTTCGATGTTCTCAATTCTAGAAATCCGAAGGCAAACAGTTTCAAGGCACCAATCAGAAAGACGAACTATCAGTTCGTGAAGAAGTTTCTAAATGATGCCTGTGAGTACATTAAAGGTCTGAAAGGGCCAGAAGGCCAATCGATGCTTAAGTCGAAACGTAAAACAGGTTTTCTAGGTTTGCTCGTGTGTGCCGAGGCAGTTCAAGGATTAGCGAAAGATCTCGTGTCTGGAGAGAGCCCGGTCTTGAAGTATGTTCTGACATAGAAGATGAGTCAGGATCACTTGGAGTTATTCTTCGGTGCTGTGCGGGCGGCTGGGGGATGGAACAACAATCCTACGGCGATGCAATTCAGGTCTGCGTACAAGCAACTGTTCATGAGACACAAAATCACGGGAGGACGAGGAAACTGCGTTCCTCAAGACGATACCGAAATGCTGAGCAATGTTGAATATAAAACTAGCAACAAATCGTCAACTATCGAAATTGAGGAGGTGACGATCGCGAGAAGATATGACTTGGCTTTGAGAGATGAGCCAGCTGCAACTTATCATGATTACTGTGATGTTCCCAAAAACTTGGAACTATCTGAATTTAAGACATCAGCAATATCGTATATTGCTGGTTACGTTGTAAGAATGGTGGAGAGAAAAATCCACTGTTTGAAATGTTTGGCCGCATTGACAACGTCCAAAGATAAGATTCCCGACCTGTTCGTGGTGTGGAAATCCAATGGTGGTCTAAAGTTGCCCTCTCCAGGGCTGCTGAAGATCTGTGAAGAAACTGAGAAACGTGTGATGAGAATGTTAAACGTTAATCAGGGTGGACTACCACATGGCATGGGACTACCAGACGCAATCACCTCAACGGTTTTGCAAGCCTGTGTGGAACACGGAGTGTTCAGTTCCTTGAAGCAGCATATGTTTGATACGACTCCTTTGAACAATGACGTTTTCGCTTTGATCAAATGCTGTTCAAAGTGTTATGTGACAATTCGCATGCACCATTTAGGTAAGCAAAGAAATGCAAAAATGCATGGAAAGTTAGTACGTAAAGAGTTTTCGAAACTTACGCTGTTCAAAGGACAGTAAGTTTGCGAAGATTGTCATGTTACTGCACATTTTATATGTGTTCGAGATTTGACCGTGATTGTAATGATACTGCACATATTTTATGTGTTCGAGAATTACCGTGAAATGTTAGCGAGTCAATGATACTGCGCATTTTACGATGTGTTCGAGAGATTGACACCATGCATACATGGTTCGCTAAGAAATAAACTAAGTAAAATACTAGGTAAGTAATAAACTAAAAATAAGTTAGCTTTTCGTCTCTTTATAAAAGTTACATGTTATGCCGTGTTTAATGCATAAATATCACTTACTGTATACCTTTAGGAAAACCTGGATATACAATTAAAGATTATGACAGCCTACTGAACTGGAAAACAAACAAATTAACACACTACATGATGTCCGCGAGCATCACCATCATTTCGACTAAAACTACAGTCAACGTACTTATCCTTCACTTCCGTCGGTATGTGCATGTAAAATACAGTAGCATGCAGATGCATAAAAACTCACCATGTAAAATAACAATTAACGTTCGTTTGCAGTAACTAATTTTTTGTGTTTTTTCTCAGGCATTTGCATCTGAAAAATACTACCTGTCATTCAACCATTCAACACTACAAAATCTAACTATACCGGAACCTGCAATGAAGTATGCTAAACCTGGATCAGTATAGTAATATACCCCCATGAAAACTTTTATAACAAAAGATGAACAGTCATTAATAGGTTGAGCCGTAAAAGTCAAAATAAATAATGAAATAAGACATATTAGTTGATTATGCTTTTTATCGTATATGCATATAGATTCTACAAGTCGCCAGAATTCAGTGGATTGATTGAATGATTTAACAGATGTATATATATATATATTATGGTGGGCATTTTTTCGGTAAGTTGGTAATTTACATTTTGTCCTGTTTGAGACGTAAACGTAAAAAAACTCTAACACCATAGAATAGCATAGTGACCGAGTATGCGTTCTATATTCTATTACTTCTATTTTCTATGAGACCTTGCAAAGAGACTGGGTACGACTTTGTATTTGTCTGAATTGCGAGGCGGGAAAATTGATTTTTTTGTGGAGAAAGCTAGTTTTAAATAGAATATAAACAAGGTAAAAACAAAAACTTAGTTTATACTATTATATATTGGTAAAAAAAAACACGTAAAATTACTCTAGTGCATTACTCTTATGTGGTAAAAAACAAACCGATAATTTCTTTCAACTACGAAATTAGCTTGAAGTTATTAAACTATATTTTTGTATATAATATACGCGAATATAAATTCAGCTCGTCAAACGTTTTATAATATGGAAACTACTTCTAATTTACGGTGTTTTCCAATTATAGGAAAGCAAGAGTGAGAAAAGTAAGAAAGTTTGCTTTTACTGTTAGTTCATGTCATTTAAAATAATTTAGTAAGGTAAATTTCCCATGGCGAATACTCGACCACACATACATGTATGTTTCCGCTCGATATTTTCTAAACACTATTGCAATTGCGTTTTTAGTGGAAAAACGTGAAACAGGGGAAGAAGGTAATATATAAACTCCGATGAAAATTATTTATTAATGGTATTTATTAGCTAATTGTTGTAAAATCATTCATTACTGTAGAAGAGCAAAGGCCAATGATTGATGGTGAAAAGGAAGGTAAAGGCTTTTTTCATATTTTAAACCATGCATGTATTCTTATTTATTATTTACAGAACAAGTAGATAACAAAACACATAGACTCATAGTATAGTTTCCTCAAATTGTTTTTTTTTAACTTACCAGATACTGAAAGAAATGAGGAAAATGGTAATACTATAACTGTTTATTTTGTCATACTTTACAAGGAAAACATGTGCCTAAAAGTTTTAAATCTTACTCACAAAACATTTTTATTCTTAGGTGATGATGATGATACAGATGGTAAATAGTCTTTACAGTATAAAATTTGCTACATAATAGCAAGTTATATTAGTGGCATGTAAATATGTAACCTCTTGTTCGATCGTGACTAAAACACCACACGAGTACATACGAGTAACATACGAGTAACACACAAGTACATACGAGTAACACACGAGTACATACGAATAACATACGAGTGCATACGAGTAACATACGAGTACATACGAGTAACATACGAGTAACACACGAGTACATACGAGTAAAACACAAGTACATACGAGTACATATGAGTAGAATACGAGTACATACTAGTAAAATACGAGTAGTAAACTTGTTTTTAGTGTTTGTAGATTGAATACAGGCAAAAAGATCGTCTTCTTTGTCGAAAAACGTGGAATGGGGGAACGGGCAATGGAGGAACGGGGAATGGGGGAACAGGGAATGGGAGAACAGGGAATGCGGGAACGAGGAACGGGGGGGGGGACAGGGGAATTATGAATTATTATTAATACGTAATATTAATCATATGTACGGGGGGGAAAAAGAACAGAAAAAAGAAACAGAAATTCGACAGGATAAACGGGAATCGGGGAATTACGAAACTATAAAACGGACTCTGGTGTCTTGGGAATTAGAAAACCGCTCAATGAATTAAAACTAGTAAAGAAATTTAGCGAAGCTTTCCTTTATTAGTACAGCGTATCATAAAAAGGTCAATCCACATTGCTTATGTCCGATCATTAAGTAATATTAATAATAATATTGCTTATGTCATTACTAATATACTTGCTATATAATAAAACAAACTTAAGGACTAGATGCAAGTCCAAGGCAGTCCTTATGCTCCATATGATATCTTAAAGTGATTATCCTATTTTAAATATCTTACAAAGCAAAACTAACAAAACACAAAATACTTCAAAATACGCAGATTTTAAGCTAGCAATTTAAGTTGGCAAGTACGTTTCTAAAGGACCCAGCCGAACTCTCCTGCAAGCCTTTGGACGTGCTCCACCTTGAAAAGGGAAGGAAAGTCTGGAGGAACGAGAACGTCGCCAAGAAATTTGGATACTTTGCTCTGATGCAGGCTGATCGGAAATGAAAATGCACGTTCTGAGGCTCACTTGAAAACTGGATTTGTCCTGCAGGGCCTTTTTTAACATATAAGCTGGGGGGCCATTTGACCCTCCCCAGTCCCTCCTTGTGCCCCCCCCACGAAATCACATTTTGCCCCCCCCCCAGAAAATGTCCCTTTTTCCTAAATTTATACAAACAAACCAGCGAAGAATAACAAATTGATAAACGGAACGTAAGTTTAGGCTTTATCCTTTGTCCTTGTTTAACAAAATCGATTTAAAGGACTGTGTCACCGCGTGCGCATCCTACGTGTTTCTAACACTAAGTAATGATAAATTATTGTTAATATTTTTAAAATTCTTTGTGCGTTTTTTCCTTCTTTTATTTCAAATAGAAGTATAGTTAGGATAAATTTTAGAGCAAATTTAGATGCTCAGACGGCAGGAATTAATGGCATTTTTGGGCTTCAAATTTCAAAAATTTTCTGGGGAAGTATGCCCCTTTAATAATAAGTAATGGATAAATTATTGTTAATATTTCTTTTATTTTTTCTGCATTTTTTTCCTTCTTTTATTTCAAATACAAGTATAATTAGCATAAATTTTAGAGCAAATTTAGATGCTCATAAAGCAGGAAATGGCATTTGAAAGGTTCAAATTTAAAACATTTTCTGGGGGAGTATGTCGGGCACACACGTGGCCGTTGGCCATTGCTATCCCCCTCTAATATATTATCTGACAGAAAGGTCCCTTTTCAAAAAATGCCCCCCACGGGAAAATCCTTAAAAAAGGCCCTGTTGTCCTGTATTTCGGTCTTGAAACTGTCGTATGCCGTCACGGTATAAGTTAACTGTGTAGTTCGTATATTTGCCTAGCCACATGTTGTGATTGAGGCTATGTGAGGATTGTAAGTTGATCACCTAGTACTATTTAAGTATAGATGAAGTTAGGTTATGTGCATGCTCACAGGGTTTTGAAAGCAAACCATGCCGTGAAATATGTGAAGCCTATGGTTTGTGTCATGTATCTAACTATCTAGGTAGAATACCTAAAA